TGATTCCTTTTACATATGGATCTTGTCAAACCGATTTATTGTAAACATGGTATCAAATTAATTTAAAAAGTCATATTTCTACGGCATACAAATTTAGTAGATGAAATATATGATATGCTGAATTGAATAAGAGATTTTAATTTTATATTAAGATTTATATATAAACTTTTCTAGAAACTACGACATTATCAAATTTCAATGCATTTGGGCTAGCGGATACCAACTGGTGACATGATATATTTACAATAACAAAGCTTAATTTTACTAAGTGATGTTGTCTAAAAAAAATTCTAGAACGCTACTGTATTTGATTTTGCACCAAGCTTTCTATTAGCTCTAAGTAATTTTTATTTTTTTTAATCTCTCTTTTCATGCCTTTCTAGCTCTAGTGCATGATCTAAATTGAAAGCATTGGTCGAAGTTCAAAAAGGGATCCTCTCCATATTCCTTCCTCTTAATCTATCAAATCAGTGAATTCGTGACATTGAAATTTGATTCAACGGCTGAAGTTATTATAACTTTTAAAGTGGATCCTTATTTGTAACCGTTGAATCAAATTTCAATAAAACGTAATACTTAATTTGATGGATTAGAAGGAAGGAATCGGGAGAAGATCCATTTCCTCGAAGTTCATATAGGCATCTTATTATATATGTATTGTAGTACTCATGTCGTTGTTTTATTTATTACCTGCCACCCACTATTCATGCCTTGTGTTCCCCTTCTTATGTAGGGTCTATTTTCCTGTGATGTTGACTTCACACCCATGATGGCTAATCTATGACTACTTGCATAAACCCGAAGGAAAACAAGAAAAAAGGGTGGAAAAAATTGGGACAGAAAATAGTAACTTAGAAAAACAATTTTAAGAGCTTAAATAGAAGGGAAAAAAATTATTTATCCACTTTTAATATTATAATTGATTCATTGTTGTAATTTTTTTTTACTCTTTTCTTACTACAAAGTTGTTTATTTATTTATTTTTTTCGATCTTTAACTTATTAGGTTTGAAGTGTTTTTATTTAGAGGATTATCACATTAACAATTAGCCAATGGTGGATTCAACAAAAATTTCATCCGGCATCTTAGTTGATGGTTGCACACCATTTTGTCGAGTTGGCCTTGGCTTCCTTTCATGTCTGGGTTTCTTTGAGACATTTTTATTAATCATCTTTGCCTCTAAGTAGGCATGCTAAAAAATAATATCAAAATAACAGGAGTGCACCGATAACTGTATGCCTATAATGATTCCCTTAGTAAATTACTTTCACCATCTCAACAATTGTTACCATATCCCCACAACTAGTTCCATAGATCAATAATTTGGCATTTTCAATGTGATAGGGTCCTCGGAATTCTTTAATCATGTTCGTTTATTGTACATCGTGTGATCAGTTTTTATCAGGTACTGTTTGTGTTCAATTTAAAAAAATATAATTTAAAATGATTTTTGATCGTACGATATACGATTAAAGAACATGATTAAATGATCCCCGACGAAGATCCTATCTCATTTTCAATGAAAGGCCTTTAATTAGTTTTAAATTACAAATTATGGGTTTCTTTCTCCTCTTATCCTCCTTTATGCAATTGTGTTTTCTTTATTTGTGTATTTGTAAGTTAGATAGACTTGTAGAATCAAAACTTATCCACGCCCTCACATTTTCATTTGTCCATTTCTTGACTCTAAAGCAGTCTAATCTTGATCGCGATGCTGACCCCACACATAATCTTTGATGGGTCTCTAGGAAATGTTACAAAAAACCCAACACTCATGATGTCTATTAAAATTAATGAAAAGAGTTTGAAAACTTTAAGTTTTAACAATAAGAATAAAATAAAGGGTAAAGTGAATAGTATCATGATTGACTTTTTAGTGTAAAAATGTGGTTTTTCATTAAAATGAACAGTACAAGAATTTTTTCGTTAAAATTCCCTTAAAAGTATCCGATGCTTCATGGAACTGGAAGCATGAGCAGTTGAGCATTGTGTTTCCCTAATATGCTCAGCAAATTCAGAGGAAATGGGAAAAAAAAAAAAAAAAAAAAAAAGTAAGCTAGAAGGGGGCATTCCGAGAATTGAACTCGGGACCTCTCGCACCCTAAGCGAGAATCATACCACTAGACCAAATGCCCTTTGTGGCTCTTTGCTTAACTTCAAACCAGTATTATATAGAAGTCACATCGGAGAATTAGTTAATGACTACAATTACCGGTTTGAAATTAGTTTGGCTAGTTTTTTTCTCTCTTTTTTTTAGCTTCTTGCAATGTATAAAAGTAATAAGGGCATAATAAATGTAAATATTCAATATGGAGTGAGTATGTCTAAAAGTAAAGCGTCAAAATTGCATAGCAGAATTAGTAATTTAATACAGTTATTGGTTTGAATATTTAGTTTGGCTATTGATTTTCACTCTCATTTTCTTAGCTTCTTGCATTTCCTACGAGTGAAGAAAAAGAAAATTGTAACGAGTCAGTTTGAAGTGCATAAAGCTAAAAAACTGAGTGTCAAAATTGCTCCCCATTAGGTTTTAGAAGTTTTAAGCCTGAAATAATTGAAATATTTTCGATATATCTGAAGAAATGACTGGAAAAGAAATTTCACAAAAAATGATTACTATTAATTTCCATACGGTATGCTGCAAATATTACTAGTCACAAGAAACAACAGAAAGAGCTACACGAAGATTGTTCGAGGTTCCACACGTATACGTTCTATATGTTTCTACTTTTTCTTGATAAATTTTGAAAGTGTGGGCAGCGTAGTGATTTCCACTCACAGTATCCCGCTTGGAAAATATTATCTCCCTCAAGATTGTTTCGTGGCCGTTGAGAAGATTACCCAAGCTTAAAACTTTTCTCCACGACTGATTAGCAGTTGGATTTGTAAACATATTTGACACGACCTGTCTTTTGTGCGTACTTACTTGTTGCTTCTTGTCAAACTCCTCCAAAGATAAGGGAGGTATAAGATATAACAAGTGTTGGGGTAAGGCTCAATGCAAATTAAAAACTCTGCCGAGGTGGTGCAACTGCCACACTAGCTGTGACAAAAGCTATCAAAACCTAAAAGAATGAAAAGCGAATGTTTTGATCCCTCGAGACAGGAGGGACGTTATCTATGGAACTAGCAGCAGTCAGAGAAAATGGCTTCAGAGAGGCGTGGGGCTTGCGAGAACTTGCGATATGAAGGGAAGCTGCAACGGTGAGTGGCTTCTCGACATGTTCAAAAACACTGCAGAGCCTTCTTATGTCTTCAATAGTCTCACTGCCAGCAGATAGACGATTTGCTGGAATAGAAGCCAAAAAACGTAAATGCTCACTGCCAAATTCAAGTTGTGTACATGCTATTCATTTTTTTCCTTTCCAAAAGAAACAGATTAGGGAACCTTGCTGAGACCTTAACGCAGACACCAAAGTAATGTAAAGTTGATCCATTTTGGTTGCCATCTGCTTCAAGCCTCCATAGCTAGTCTTGTTCAAGGTATCTGATGCTCTGAAGGCAGTACAAATCATTTGTTCGAGCAACTGATGCAGTCGTAATGTTTCCAAGTAATGAAGGATCTACAATGTTAGAAAAGCATTAAAGTAGATTCTGGATACACCACACAACACAACAATGGAGAAGGCACATGACTTGTAGGTTACTTAATATTATTTGGATTAGTCTACAAATTTAGTCTCCGTAGCATTACCCTAATATTAATGAGTTATTTGTCTTTCGGTTTTGAATTACGCAAGTATGGTGGATTAGGGGTGTTGAGAACGTCGCAATGGAGAAAGGCAAATGGGGCGATGGGTGAGAGGAATACGATGATAGATAAAGCAAAAAGCAAATTAAATACCACGTGTGTACTGAGCATGCGAAAGAAGAAAAGGAATGTGTATAATTCATTTCTCAAATTAAGATGCACAACACATCCTAGATCCAAACTCGAAATCTAAACTACCAAAATCGAAAGAAAATCTCTTACTACCAATACGTTGTCCCGGTGAGCAGTGGAATAGATGATTTGTTATCTATCCAGATAGTACATAATTCGTTCGTTAGATAATTGTCCTGTGATATCACCAATTGCGATTGAGAATTTCTCCACAACACCACGAGCATAAACCTCATACCTTGGAGCATAAAAACCTCCATGATTCAAGATCGAGGATCCGGGCCTATAGCCCAAATCATGTTCCAAGCTGCCGCCTCTATAAATCAAGGCTAAGGTCCAAACCCAACATGTCATTTATCGGACCGAGCCGAGATTTGAGTGGGCCCATCACAAGGGACTCCCCGGACGATCCATTTGGAGAATTGACCATTTAACAGGAGAGAAATGCAATGTGATTTGAAAATGGTGGACCCGGCCGAAGAAAAAGTAGCTCCCTATCCAACTCCCAACCGCAATGAACCCCACACCTATAGATACACCGCGATCCCCACGTTGGATCAGATCGGAAAGCAGCATCATCATCACTTATAATACACGGGCAGTTGTAATTTATGAGAAATGCAAAAAAGCAGATGGAATTTCACCGTTAACTTTCGTGTCAATATTTTTTCCTTTTGAGAGATTGCTCTGTAATTTGTAAACCTATACATTAACGAGTAGTATAACATTGTTATCTATTTGTTTCATTTCTTTAATAACTATATGGCTCACCAATATATGTTGACCTTATTATTAGAGTGCAAATAATAGTACAAATAAATGGTAAAAATAACATTTTTCTTCATTAGCGAGCTCGTTTGGATAGGTTTTTAAAATGATAAAAAACTTTTTTTTGATAAAAATATTTTTAGAACCAATATTTAGTAAATATGTAAGTAAATCATGAAAAAACACTTAAAAGTGTTTTTTTGTAAGAAACATTAGTTATGTGTTTTTTTTCAGGAATCACTTAAAATGCTTTTGAAAACCAAATTTTTTTTTTCCATCTAAAAGTACTTTCAATCATTTTAAAAACACATCCAAACCAATTTACCAGGAAACCGAACCGGCACAAATTGCATGCTCACGCTCGCAAACAAAATAACAAAACCACCGCGCCTCTCCTCCCTCTCTCCTTTTATTTGTCAGAAAATGAAGAAACTCAGAAATCTGAACAAGACGAGACTACTCTCTCTCTCTGTACTCTCTGTGTTGCTGAACTAAATACAGAGACGAGGGGCGAGTCACTGAGTCACTAAGTCGTCCGAGCCGAGCCCGCACTGAGCTTCTCTAGCTAACTTAGCTAACCATGGCTGCAGCGCTGGAGTGCTGGTCCGGCCGAGCGAGCGCGGACGAGGACATGGTGGAGCAGGGGCTGATGAGGACGCATGACAGATCGGAGGGTGCGACGGCGGAGCCGGAGAGTTCGACTGGCGCCGGAGTGAAGGATTCGTCCGCGATGCAGAAGAAGCTGCAGAGGCTCAGCCGGAACGTATCCGAGGCCATCGCGTCGCTCAAGAACTCGCTGAATCTCGACTCGGCGAGTGACTCGGCGACAGCGTCGTTTGGAAAGATCGAGAGCTCGAGGAAGTTGGTGTGGGGGAGTGTGGTGCGAAACCTCACGCAGCTCTACCCTGGCAGTCAGCTGCCGGAGAAGCTCGTCTCCAACATTCGCAAGCATTACGATTCTCTTCCCCTCAGGTTTCAAAGCTGAATCTTTAGCTCTGTTTGGTTACTGAGTTTGGTTTATACTTGTTTGGATTGATGGTTGCGACTTTGTGCAATTTGTTGAGCAGCCAAACAGAGGATTTGGATTGTGTTGTGATTGATTTTGCTTGTTTAGTGATTTGGGTTTTTTTGTATGTGTTGAATAGTTATGCTCAGGCGGGGTTCGAAATGAAAGAAGTGTTTCTTCATATAAAATTGATAGAGGAGGCATCATTGGATGGGCATCCTGCAATGTTGATTCAAGAGGTGTCTGACCTGGAGGCTCAGGGGTCTGTGTTCAAGCTCACATTTGCTTGTAATTGTTCGATTTCATGGCCATTGATGTCCGGTGCACTCGATAATGATTTGATTTGCTACAAGAAGATACAGATTTTTGAGAAGAAAGGGTGTACTATTGGTGTTGTTCTTCTTATGGTTGAAGCTGGAGAAGATAAATTGTTCAGAAACCGGGTTGAAAATGCTTTGAAGTCGGCCATAAGGAAGCCCAAATCGAGCACAGTGAAGCTCGCATTTGGGCTATGTGGGTGTCAAGAAGAGAATATTAAGGGGAGGGAGGTGGAGGATATTGACGACGACATTGGTGAACAAAACTATAGGAATGGGTTTGAGATTTCCAGCCACATGATTCAGCTTCCGAATCCTCTACCCACTTCGTCAGTTGTTGTATCAGTAGACGAATGGCAGACAATCCAATCTGGCGGGGATGGGATAGGAAAGTGGCTGTTGAACTCTGATAATTTCGACTTTGTTGATCAGATTGGACCCAATTCATATAAGGGAGTGTACAAGGGGAAAAAGGTTGGAATTGAGAAGCTTAAAGGGTGCGACAAGGGGAATTCCTATGACTTTGAACTCCGAAGAGATCTTTTGGAGCTCATGACATGTGGGAACAAGAACATTCTGCAATTTTATGGTGTTTGCATCGATGACAATCATGGGTTGTGCGTTGTTACGAAGCTGATGGAAGGTGGATCAGTATATGACTTGATGCTTAAGAAAAAGAAGCTTCAGACTAAGGACATATTAAGGATTGCTGTTGATGTAGCAGAGGGAGTCAAGTTCATGAATGACCACGGCGTTGCATATAGAGACCTCAACACACAGCAAATATTATTGGATCGACATGGGAATGCTTCCTTAGGTGACATGGGTATAGTTGCTGCTTGCCAAAGTGTTGGTGATGCAATGGAGTATGAGACTGATGGATACCGGTGGCTAGCTCCCGAGGTTAGTTCATTGTTGCCTCAGTTATTATTCCGTTAATTAATATAGCTTAGTACTTATCAATCATCATGGCAATCTTTAAACCAGTTAAATTGAGTTCTTTCACTGCTACAAACTTTTTATCCTGTCAATCTGCATGTTCCAAAGCACTGGGAACAAATTGACGCTCATCCACTTCCATCGTCCATTGCATATCCAAATGTGTCATAAACCAAGTTCCACATCTGTTGCTGTTGTTCCAAGAACTCTCTTATATGATTGAATTGCAGATAATCTAGGCATTATTTTACTACAAAGGCTTTACCTGCATAGACCTTCCCAGCATACAAGATTTGATCTATTTCTTACGGATTGTGTTAGGTTTCACCGGCACTCGTAGCAGATTCAATGTATCAATTCACCTATTCATGATCAATCGATTTTCACTAGACACTTTATGTCACTTACCCCGACATAATTGTTTGAGCATGCCGACCATGTCTTCATGGTTGTTGGCACTTTACATCTCAATGTACTGTTTACCTTTGCCTGGCTTTTTAGGCAAAGGATAATGCTATGTAGGCAAATTTGCAAACCAATAGTCTTTGAGATTGGCTAACTCTACATTTTGGTCTTCGACATTGAAAATCGATAGTTTGTCCCCCGTAAATCATTTTGTCCTTCCGTGAAAAACCTGTCAATCCTCGTTACATTGTCATGTGAACGATCACGAGACTATATTTTTAAGGGTATTGTTGTCAAACCAACCCCTCCACATACGAGTATTTTGACAAATTTTACTCGGAACGACCACAATGATTTGCGGTGGACAAATTCAGAGACACTTCTATCAATTTTCAATGTCAATGACGAAAATAAGGAGTTATGCCGATCTCAAGAATCATTTTTGGCTAAAAACTCACTTTGCCCAGCTACTTTTATTCATTCCAGTAAACAAATCTCCGTAGCCGCAAGTAGTGCTACCTTCAGAAATACAGGTATTATAAATGAAGCATTTTAGTTTTTAGCCTGATCACAGTTCAAGCATTATACCCTTTCCGGATCAATTGTTTGATCCCACTCTATAAACCCATATTTTAGGGAATTGTTATTAGCACTCCAAAAATCTCATTATACACTCCTCACACATGTATTTTTCTTTCTAATTATAGAAAGTTAGGAGTGCCAAATGAGATTTTGAGAGTGCTAATAACAATTCTCATATTTTATCCAACTTTTATATGCTTTTGATAATAATTGGATGCTGATACAAACTCTAGGTACAAATACTTGATGATGAAATTAGATTTGCTTTGATTTGGGTCACGGGAAATGCGGATGCAAATCACTTAGAACAGAATAATTCTCTTTCTTTCATCCAGTTTGGCCTTTTGGGACCACTTTTTGTCACTTTCACTTTATTATATACTATCTAACAATCTGAACGCCTCCAACAATGAACTTGCTCAGATTTTTTGTAAGCACAGTGCATTCTAATAAAAGTTAGGCTTATTTTTAGCTACATCATTTGGAACTCGATTTTAATCTCACTTACTTCCTGTGACTCAAAAGTCACAACTTTACTCTCTGAAACTAAAAACTTCGCTTCACTTTGCCCCCTAGGACTCGATTTTGACCCATTTTTGCTCTCTAAAACTCAAAAGTCGTCATGTCACTATATTAAACTCAAATTCGCTCCACATTGCCTTAATTTTGTTAATTCCATTATGTGGGTTTGATTTGGGTGCAATAGGTTAATCAATGTCTTTTTTATTTATTTCCATTTCAAAATATCTTCTTTTAAACTTAACATTTCTGATTTTTGAATGTTAACGTATAGCAGAGATTTATAATCAAGTTCATTGGAACACGTGGCATAGTATTATTGGGTGATGGGTCCCACATATGTTTCAGGGGCAATTTTTGAGTTTCGGAGAGAAGAGAGAGAGCGTCCACAAGTCAAAGTGGAACAAATTTAAGTTTCAAGTAGTAAAGTGGTGATTTTTGAGTTACAATAGTCAAAGTGAGATTAAAATCGAGTTACAGGAGGCGTAGCAAAAAAATAAGCTAAAACTTAAACTTGAAATGTTCTTCCACCTCATCTCTGATTTGAATTACTTGTATCGAAGCTATCCAGCATACTAGCTGGGTGACATCTTTTATTCACCAATGTTTTTCCACATCTTTCCGCTTTGGAATTATCTCCCATTTATGATATGAATACTTGAAATACATAAATGGTGTTCATTGCTTTGTTTGGCTTTCTGGTTGGACACAGATCATCGCTGGTGATCCAGAGTGTGTAAGCGAGACATGGATGAGTAATGTGTACAGTTTCGGGATGGTAATTTGGGAGATGGTCACTGGTGAGGCAGCATATGCCGCATGTTCACCGGTCCAAGCAGCGGTCGGGATCGCTGCCTGTGGACTCAGACCCGAGATTCCGAAGGACTGCCCACAAATTCTGAAGTCCTTGATGACCAAGTGCTGGAACAATTCACCGTCGAAGCGCCCTCAGTTCTCGGAAATCCTATCAACTTTGCTGCAATCAAGCAACAGTAATAGGTGAACATCCTTTAGCTAGCCTCACTGATATTTTATTGGAACTCTCTCTCTAAAAAGAGGGAAAAAAGAGAGAAAAAATGTATATTTTATTGGATTACTTCAGGCTATCTCTAATGTTCCGGCCTAAAGTTAAAAGTTTGGAAGTTATATCTGACTTTAAAAGTTATATCATCTCCGATATACATTTTAACTTTTAATTTTTAACTTTTGTGCATTGGAGAAGGTTCGAACTCAAAGCTAAATTTTTGTGTTGTTTTTATTTTATTTCGAATCATAAACAACTAAAGCACATACATTTTATTCCATGACATTAAAAACTCTCATCGCGTTCTTTGCGTTCTCCTTGTCGATTCCGCTAGTGCTCAATGAGATCAAATTCATATTGTGACGTTTTCCCTATCGTGACGAAGCTAATTGTGGCCATTGAATACATATTGGAAGAAAAAATGTTAACTACTTTTTGAAATAAAATAGGCGTTAAGCAAGAATTCATGGTATTCCATCGAATGACGACGGTAAATGCATAAAGTTGGCCATCAATTTTGAAATAATACTTATTTTTTGTGTAATTCAGTGAGGATTCCACTGTAACTATGTTAAACCTCAATTAAACATGACTTGATACTTGAGTGAAATTTTTTTAGCGCGCCAAAAACACGGCCGGTACACCAAATGTAATAATACAATTAGTTGATTTTTTTTTTTCAAGTTTCAAATCAATTACATTATTTCACTAGTGCACAAGACCGTGTTCCCGACACGGTGAAAAATTCTAGATACTTGACTCAAAAGTCACATCCCTAGTATTTTTATCCAACTAAATAATTGTATAGATCCAAATGTATAATATATGCAATATCCTTCCAAACATATGAATTATACCTCAATAGTGTTACAGGTTATCAAAAACTACTATTTGTAAAAATACGTCAAAAAAGGTCCTAAATTCAACTCCCTTCTTACCAGTAATTACAAAAAACATTCTAAACTAAAATTAACAAGGAATTATGAAAAGATTAATCACTTCAAAGAAATGTTAACTCGCAGAACGAACGACAAATCAAACGCTTCTTATAGTAAACTTTTCATGTCATCAATTTCTTTGATTCATGCAAAATCCTATGACAATTCAAGTTCCATAGACATCAGATCAGAGCTTGGTTTTGTAATTCTAGATACAAATATAGCAAGCATGGACAACAAATTTGCACAATTGCGAACTGTAATCCAGACTTGAGCGGCATCAGCTCTTATCAGCACCTTCATCAAATGCACCGGAGTTTACAACTCGGAAATCCAGTTGCTTCTGATGCTTCAACCGGCGTCGTTCATCAAAACTTTCCCAGCCTTCAAACTGTGAACATAATGTTGTCAGTGACACACCGTTAAAAGAAAAAAGCTGGACTACTTTACAGAATGACATTTGGTACTAGGTACGTACCTGACGAAGGACATCCACAGTTATTTCTGTATTGTGCAGATCAAGTGTTGTGAGCTGTAAGCACATTTTGAATAACACAGTGGGAAGCGCTTTCAAACCGTTGTTGCTGAGATACAAAGACTGCATAAAAGTAGAGACTTCAGGTGAATATCAGCCTGGTGACTTTGCACTTACTCTACAAGTGCTCAAGTTAGAAGACTACTACTGCTAAAATGATATCTATAAAATCTTCATGTAAAAGTTCATGGATGACGAGGCAGTAAAAGGAGTCAAACTTTAGGATGGCACGATACCGTAACCATTAGGTCTTAGCTCAGGTATATATCAATGGGCAACAGGGGGTGTAGGCAGATACAATAGCAAACATCAAGTCGATGGGCGGTGAAAAGCAGGTGCAATATGAATAAAGTGCGAAATGGAAAACAATCTTATAAGAAAAGGCAAAACAAATTACTAAATTAATTCTAATACAGCAAAAACGTAATCAGTGTAATACGGAACATTAACTAATTAACTGAACCGCTCAACTTTGGAGGGGGTAAAAACTGAAAAGAAGAAAGAGGGATAATAAGTTCAAAACAGTAGATTAAGTAGGGACCTTCAGATTGTTCAAATTTCCCAATGTCTCTGGCAACTCGGAAAGAAGATTTGACGAAACATCAACCTGCACCATGTCGAAAGTAAGTCAGATGCATGACTGAACTACCTAGTATGGGAAACAACCAACCCTCTAATCACCCCTCCACCCACCAGACACCTGAAAGAAACGAAAAAATAGGAAAACACCAAAAGAAGTACCTCAATAAGAGCATTGCAATCCCCTATACATGTAGGGATGATGCTTATCCTGCAACATAGACACACGTAAGTTTAAGTAAGATATATTACCAACATTTTGACGAAAAAAAAGATATGTTACCAACATAACACACGTCTTTAAGAAATAGTGTCTTCATCACTATATCATCGATGCATAAAGGGGAAACAATTTTCCTAACCCAAAAGCATTCACAGAAGAAAATAATATGTCCACAATGTAGACATGCCAAATTTATTAATCCTATCACATTCACATGAGAAGACAAGGAAAAACAAGAGGCACTAGATTTTGATTCTCTACTTCTCAATACGAAAAACACATGTCCTTGGCATCCTTGCATATAATACTTTCAAAATTACCTGTTATTGTTCGCTTTCAGAACTTCAAGCTTAGTCAGAAGTCCTATTTCATTTGGGAGGCTAGATAATTTGTTTTTTGCAACATTAAGTTGCCTCAGTGATGTCAACAAGCCCAGTGAAGATGGCAATGTCGTTAAACTGCATACATCATGCTATTCATCAAAATATCCAACACAATGTGAAGAGATAGAAAATGAAAGCCACCCGTTATTGGTTAGCTTTATTTGAAAAGTAAAAGAGACACTCACTGGTTTTGCTCCAGAGACAGAACGGTTAGATACTTCAAAGTTACTATTCCTTCCCAGCTAATAGAATCATCCACTATATCATTTGCAGCGAGCAACAATTTCTACAGAATTTTGAGAATGAACTGAAACTAAGTAAAACTTATGGCAAGAATTTGATGTAGATGGAGCGAAAATATGAAACAGAGGTTTCTGTACCTGCAAGGAGCTTAGACAACCAATCTTTGAAGGTACATCTCGAATAGAATTATTGCTGAGTTCAATAACTCTTGCAGAAGTCCCAGAAGCCCACACTTCATCAGGTATAGCCTTTTCAAATAAGATCAACAAGAATTTGTCAACATCAGAAAAACTTAAGTCCTCTAAAACAAAATCAATATTGCACTCCGATCGGATTCACAAGTATCAATGGTTCTGATTCCCACTTCATTTCTATTGGTGAAAAAAAAAAAAAAACCTCTACAAGGCATATCACTTCTATTAACATACTCAATACCTGTTAATCAGGCCACACACATTACGAAACAAGAATGCTTCTCTTGAAGTGAAATGTAATCAGAAAAACACAAACTGGGAGATAAGGGTCTATAATCAACAAAGGTCAGTTTCGTATACCTTCAAGTTGTAGTCAGACAGTCCTATAACTCCAGTAGCCTTCCATCTATCCAACCGGTTCTTATCAACAGGAACTTCCGTCTTTTCTCTTCCCAATGTATCAACAATTCTGAATCTGGAAATGGGGCGTGTCTGAGCTTGTTTTAGGATGGGTCCGTCCTATCCATACCAAAATTTCCACAAATTACCACATTATCAATAACCCATTTGTAATAACTCAACGCTTCCGAAAGAACACTTAAAAATGCACATCAATCTCCACAGTTACTCCAATCCATCCAAGGTTTGATGAAATTGATCACCCACATTTTACTCAAGGAAAAAGAGTATCTTTCTTGATGAACCATCTTTCTTTTCATATATTTTCTCGACTACCAATCAAGTGGGGTTCTTCCATTTCCATCAAACTCAATCTCCCAAATTCAATTCAATAAATTCAAGAAACCAAAAGGGTAAAAAAAAACAAGAATTGAACTTTATCTAGAAACACCCGTACCCCTTGGTGCAAGCCCTGAGAAGCCATGAGCATGATCTTGGCTCCATCCCTGACCTCAGACTCCTTCAGTGTCATTCCATCCACCAGAAGCTTCCCTGTCACAAAATACCCACAACCCAAAATTCAAAACAAACAACGAATAGAAAACTTGCCATTCAATTAAAATCAAACGAATCCAAAAGGAGGCACCTTTGCAGATGAGCTTTTGGCCGCGAGGAAGGACATTGGTGAGAGGCTGCAGAAGGGCCTTGAGGTCTTTGATGGTGGAGTCCACAGAGAGGTTTGTGATGGGAATTGTTCTGCCGCTGAACTTCACGGTGAGGCTTACGGTGGCGCCTCCGCTATCGTCACCGCCGATGGTACTGCTTGCCATTTTCTCTTTCTTGCTGTGAGTTCTTGGTGGGTCTTCTTCTGCTTGTGTTTGTTTGCGTCCGATCCTTCCTCTAACTTTTCAGAAACGAGAGTGGATGGCCTCCCTTCTTTGCTTTTATTTTATTTTTTATTTTGACAATACTCCAAAAATCTAATTGTAAACTCTAAAACTTCCATCTATTCATTTCGAAAGTGTGTTTAAATGACTAAAAATACTTTTACAATTTTTTTTCTTTTTTTTCTTTTTAAACGAATTCATGATAAAAATGTAGGTTAATCCTCAAGTGTTTTATTAAGAAGCACAAAACTAATGCTTCTTACACTTATTTTTTAAACTCAAAAGCATTTTTATTAAAAACTGATTTTAAAAATATTTTCTCTAAAATTTTTTTTAGTCATTTAAAAAATAGGGGAAACTTGAAATAGGTCTAATGTTATAGCCCAACATTAGGATTAGTCCAATTTTTAGTTACTTTTAACTTAGCTCCAATGACTAGGATTCCATGTCAGCAATTTTTCAGATTAGGTTGATTTTTTTTGCATTGTTATTACTATTTTACCCACCTATAGATTTTGCACGTTCTCCATATATTTCCCACATTTTAAATTTTTATCAGAATTCAAATTCATTGTTCAGTGGTCCTTCATCTTTCTCCCAGATTTCTTTATAACAATTTTTGAATTTGAATTTCTTATCAATCTATTTTTAAGGAAGGCTTAATCACTTTTAACTTTCTAGTAACTTTCTATACAAATTACATGTGTTTATATTTCTTCAAAGACCTATTCTCTAGGTACAATTTTTATGATCGTGTTTTTCCTTCGTGGTTTGTCGATACTCAACCTTCTCCATCTATCAAAGAACTAAAACATAGCAGATTGAATGCCAATTAATTTTCAAGTCAGGTATATTATAATTGTTTTCCACTTTATTGTTGTTTGCTGTGCGAATTCAAAATATGAAGACTTTATCCTAATCCCCCTAATCCCTTTCTATCATCTCTCATTGATATGCTTCTTTTTCTTTTTATTAAAAAAAAAAAAAAAAAAAAACCAATGCACAGAAGGTGTTTGATGTTATGTCTCTTTGAAAAGTGTACTCTTTAATTTCCGGTAGAAATTTATTGTTCTCTTATTGTCACTATCTTTGTCACTTATTCTAGATTTCGAGCCGCCTGATGATAGCAAAAGGAAGAAATTCATTGTGATTGGAGTTGTTTCAGCATTATTCCTCATTTTCTTGATTTTGGGCATTCTTTGGTGGAAAGGTTGTTTACTTGAAGCTGTTTCCACCGTTTTTCCAGAAGCACCACATGCATTTTGCATGTTTCATTTGAAATTGAATATACAAAGTAAATATCCAAAGCAAATGGGTTCTGGTTATGGTGAAGTCGTTGCTAACCTGTTCCAAAAATGTTGTTACGCTCCATCCCAACTTGTGTTCGATCAGGAAATGAAAACTCTCATCAAGGATAGTTGTACAATAATTCAGAATTTTTTGCAAACCACAGCCAAAGAAAACTGGTCCAATGCATACTTCAGGGGGAAAAAATATGGTGAGATGTGCTCTAATATTGCAGAATCCTTCAATTCTTGGATTTTGGATGAACGCAAGATGCCAACTTACCAAATGATTGATAACATACGTGTGAAGTTGATGGAGATGAGTTCTAATAGGCAACGTGAAGCTGAAAGATGGACCTCACCAATATGCCCAACAATGGATGATGAAATGATGAAAATGGTTGAAGTTGGGAGACATTGGCAAAGAGGCCCCCAGGTAACCCATGTGATTATGTCAAAGATTATTTCACAACAGATTTCTATAAGTCTTCTTATTCATATCCCATCATTCCTGTACCTGATGTTGAAAATGATGAACAATCTATGAGTCAGAAGTTTGTGATAGAACCCCCATTGACAAAGAGCCCCCAGGTAGACCAAAAGTTAAAAGACTAAAATCTACTGGGGAAGAAACACGCCCCAACAAGTGCAGTAGGTGTGGTGATGCTACACGCCACAACCGGAAAACTTGCAATGCCCCTATTTGACATACATCTCCATTGCCATTTGGATTTTTTTTTTTCAAATATATGAACACATGTTTTTTTTTATCAATGTAATAAAATGATGCCTTCGACTTTTTAGTTTACTCATATTCTTCTTTTTTCCATTATCTACTTACATGTCATATGACTTATGCAATCTGTGAAGACTATATATTTATTATGCTATCATTACTAAACCTTCCAAATCAAACCTATATATAACAAGCTGCCATAAGATGTTAAATTTTATCCTACCTATCAATTTGGCTTACAATATAAACTACCTATCCTTGTAGAATATGATTTTTACATTCACCATTAGTTGTATAAGTTTATTACTTTTTGGGACGGTTTTAAACTACCTAACATGGAGTAAAATTACCGACAACCATTTTTTAAAAGATTATTTTTGCAAAAATTTGTCTAAAGCGGAAGTTATTTAACTATTTGATTGTTATTGTGAACATTTCATTGTGTTTTTAGCAACACTATGCTTGTCTAGTTTTACTGTCACAATTTTTTTTTCAATTAAACAATAATGTCAAATTTACTCTAGTATTGCTATTATGGAAAGACATTATTGTGAATATATTGATAAAATGAAAATCTTAAGGTATATTAAGTTGGGGAAGCAAAAATTCCAACATGTAGTAGAAAATCCCACTTATATTGTATTTAAACTACCTAACATGTAGGAAAATTACCGACAACCATTTTTTATCAACAATTTGAAAGTACCCGTTCTACAGGTATACCACATGACCATGTATGAAACTGAAATCTTCTGAGAAGTTACAATACCTGTTCTACATGTATACCTATCCTTGTAGAATATGACTTTTACATTCACCATTAGTTGTACAGATATATTACTGTTTGGGACAGTTTTAAACTACCTAACATGTAGGAAAATTACTGACATCCATTTTTTATCAACAATTTGAAAGTACCTATCCTTATACAATTAGAAAGTACATTTACGAACTATATCCAGATAATGACAAAATAACATTATCTGAGATTAAAAACAAATCTTATTGTGCAATCAATAAAGGGAAACATGAAGAATATCCCCTTTCAATTGAAATTGAAATTAAAAAACAGATACGACAAAGCATATCTCAGTTTACATAACACCCAAACTTACAATACCTGTTCTCCAGGTATACCGGGAAGTCAGAACCAGATCTTCGCCTATTCTGTTTTCATCATTGGGAGAAAATTTATAGCTTTCATAGCTTCATACGGATTTAGGATTCAAAACAAGGTTTCCTTTGGACACGGACGCAAACCAGTTTGAAAGATGGGAGGATAAGGTTTTTGAATAAACAAAGAGATTAATCTACAAGAGACCTGATAAAGGGGTCTAATGGCAATTATTGTAATTTTGTTGGTAAATTATGTGCATTTTAATTGCTGACATGGATGATTGTTGTACTTACTAGTCCCCACTTATGCTTATGTAATATAAGTGGATTCCATTCAAAACAGGCTTATAAAATTGGACTCATATCAAAAGAACCCTTTAAAATACTTTCCAAATGAGACACATTTAAGGGCGTGTATTCAATTGAGATTTTGAAAGGTTTTAATTCTTTTAATGAATATAGGGGTATTCAATTAGGATTTTAAGTGATTCTCTGAAATTCAAGGTATATTCAATTAGAATTTTAAGATAATTTATTAAAATCTTTAGAAATCCAAGTGTATTCAATTAGAATTGATTTTAAAGAATTTGAGAGAGTTGAGGAACTAGAGGAAATTGGAGAGATTTCGTATTGTATTTTAAGCATCCACAAATCTCACCTCTCCTCATGAGATTTTGAGGGAATTGAATTAAAATTTTATATGAAATCTCTACAAATCAATTAAACTCCATAAAAATCCATAAATTTATAAATCCATTAAAATTTCTCAAATTCTCAATTGAATACACCCCCCTTAAAAAGAAAAAAAATTCTTATGAGAAATGGGCACAATTAGATTTTTGAAATGTCATTTTTAATGTTGGTTTTTATCCCTCAATTTAAGGGTTTTTGGACAAGCTTTTATTTTATCTTTTTTTATACAATGATATATTTACAAATAAATATTTTAATAACTTTAAATTTAACCAATTTTTCTCAAAAATAATCTATGAATGAGGATTAAAATATATATGATTTGGATTCTTGAAAAGTTACAAATGAACTCTATAAAATATACGTCAAAAAATAAGTGTCATGGATCTTGATCCATTGAAAATTGTTTGGGTGTCCAGAAAGAAGCCAGCCATATCTCCTCCACATTGTTCTCAGTCCAACACTGACGATATGCTCATGGAGTGGTGTTTGTAACAAGAAAGATCAGATTATTTTGTGGAAGAACTTGTATAAGGTTTGGGAAATATGTTGTACTTGTGATTTTGTATGCTATTACTGTTGTTGTGTGGTGTTTACTTTGTCAAACTATCATTAATTAGGTATGTGTATCATCTGTTTCATGTAATATATCATAAGAAAATGTGGTAGCGGATAATTTTGTTAGCATGAGCTTATCTTCTTAAACTTTGGTATGACATGATTTGCTTCGATGGCGGTTCGTTCTGCTTTGTTTTCAAATCATGTTGGCTTTCCTAGCTTCTGCTTCTCAAATTAATGTGTTCGTCATACAAGTTTGTCTCACTTTTTTTTTTTTCCTTAACCTTGTGATGTTGCTTAGTCTATTTTGCAAGTTTAGATTTTTAGGTTCAGCTTTAGGGGGGTTAACTTTCATATACCCCGTCTTTTCCTTGTATTTTTGTTTCTAAAGGGGTAATGATTATGTCCCCTTCTTTTTATGTATTTTTCTTATCCTTTTATCTTGTATTATGAAAAGTTAGCTTTATGTCCCCTGATTAGGTGTACCATTTTTTGGATATCAATAAAATTCTCCTTGTTGAGGTTTTCTAAAAAAAAAAAACTGTTTCATGTAAGTTATGGTTTCTTTCTTCTTCATTTGTTTTGACAGGAAATTTCACGTCTCCGTTCTTCTTCTTGGCACCACGGTAATGCAGTAGACGATTTGATATGACTTTATCTTTGTTTTCCATTAATGTCCGTCTCTCTCTCATTGTTTCATGGAACCGACATAATTGATGGAGATCAGATGAGTGTTAACAGAGTCCTTATTTTATCACTTTTGAAACTGGATTAATGAACTCTAGCTGGTATTGGCTTCTTTTGTGGGTTTCCTCCTTATTTTTATAGGAACTGCAACACTTTTTGGCCGCAACGTTGTTACCCTTTTGTTACGTCGGTTATGATATTGAGAGATTTTTTGTTCGTGTTTTATAAGAGATTTGTAGACGTACGTTGGATGATAACTATTTAGTTTTGTAAAATACGATGTGTAATTGTCTTTGAGGATTTGATTTTCTGTATCTTGCATCATGTGACCTTGAAATTGCACACAAAGATGAAACAGATGATTGTTTGGATCAGTAGTCAGCTTTTAGTGACCTCTCTCTTGAGGTCACTACATAGTGCATGTGACTTTCGGTTTAGGTACCATTATATTGTTTTTGTGACGAAGTTAGTGACCAAAATTATGGTCGGTAAAGCTTTTATACTCAGTGACCACGCAAGGCCGGTCACTAATAATTTGGCATATTAGTGACCTGATATTTCAGCATCACTAAAGAGAATTGTGACGAGCTTGTCGCGACTTCTCAGTGATCAGCCTTTTTTTTGGTCACTGAGTTGGTTTAGTGACCATTTCACTTTCAGTGACGAATGAATGGGTCAGCTAAATCCCTGTTCCCTTGTAGTGTTGGATGAGATTGTGGTAACGAAAGCTGAAGACACAGAAACTTCGAAGACAATGTCACCAGAGCCGAATAAAGATTCGTATTTTTACGTGCATTTTGACTGCCCGCGCACAATATGCCGTCTAAATATTAACAAATTCTCCGGAAGGAGCTGCGGCAAGCCGAGGTTTGAAACTCTGCTTGAACATGTCGAACGAGGCTTTTTGAGAGAGTCGGATGTTTATGCCTATGATTTCCCCCATGACACAGATGAGTGACGGTCCATGGCATAAGGATTCCGTCCCGAGATTGATTGATCACACGATCATACTTGGGGAGAAAACAATCTTCCATATGGCGGCGAAAATCCATGTTTTTTTTTAAGGTTTTTGATCATCTTCTTCTCCAATCCTGTAATGATCTCCCTCATTGCTCGCGCTACTCTAGTCGTTCCGGAGCCACAAGCTGGTTGTTGTGTATCATACCAGAACGGAAAATGTTGCATACATTTTTGACACTCACAAAGACCAATGGGAGCCTAATAAAAGCAAAATCCTTACTGTTGGGTTTTGGGCTGCTGCGGAGTTCGAAGGCTTTCTAATCGGCATGATTCGGTTTGGCAAACAGTTTGTGGATAAGAAGTTGGATTCGAATGGGATCCCCAAGCGGTATTGGGTGCTACATGAGCTTGATGAGAAAACATGTGAAAAAAGCTAACACGCCATATGTTTTTGTATTATTGAGATGGAAACGCTACGTGACAGTGTATCCGTGTCATGTAAGTCCTCCAATAATATAATCAAAGCTACACGTGACAGTGTTTTGACAGGTGCAGGTCAACTAGATTTGGTCATTTGTTGCTGTAGAGCCAAACCAATGCAAGGATTTGCCAGCTCTGAGACTCACAGAAGAAATGAACAAATCCATACCTTATTTTGGAACCCTAAAAACTCGAGTTTTGGTTCACATGAAAGAGGATCTCTAGGCTGTTTTTAAACTCTACGTTCAATCGATCAAGCATGTGGCCACAAAGTCCATAACTTTGTTACTCTACTTCTTCTTCTCCCCGCAACCCATGTGAACTTTTCAGAATCCACCCACTGGGTGGGTTTTCTACTTTTCTAACTTTTGCTTTTGGAAACAACAGATTTATTCCCACTACCAAAGTTGTATTGTCTCCACAACACTACGCAGTTAATTATGCATGGTCCCTCATCCTACATGTTGGATATATCATTGCTACTCGTTCACTGTCTCCTCTCTTATTATTATTCTCTTTTGACTTCAAAATAAGTGTGTGAAAATACATTTAAACTTATATTCGATGTCATTGGTTTGATTTTTGTTCAAAAAAATAGTTTATATATACGAAGATTCTCGATGCCGTGTTTCTTGAAGGATGGATGCGCTGAGAGAATCTCACCTATGATCAAGTTTCTGATCACCACGTAGAGCTTAGACTTTAGTTTTGAGTCTCGGGTTGGTTAGTTGCTTGAATTTTAGATTTGAAGTCTCAAAGTTTGGTATCCTAAATAATCATACATGTCAATAAATTAGATCAATGTGAAACAGTTGACTAACAATAAGCTTTTCTCGACTCAACAAGCCTTCAAAATATAAAACCGCGTGTTCTCAGAAAAATTATAATTGTATGTGCATATGTAACAAAGATGAAAACAAAAACCTAATTGTAAGAGGGTAGCAATCATAATCTACACATCTAAGCTATGGGTAGGAGGGAAGTTTTAAACTCGGGCCAAAACAGATTGAAAAATAAATGTTATATTCACCAAGACAATCTACCGCTCACAGCGTAATCGGTTTAAGTTGTGTTCGTGTGAACTGGTGAAGATTTTGGCAAAGCAGAAATGTCAATGTGCTTGCTTAGTATTAATGGGCTGGCAAGAAAATGAGCACGCTCCCGTACTTCTGCATTGTGTGAATAATTTAAGATCCACTACCACCCTTCTTAAATATATGCTCTAGAATAATATAAATAAGCTGTTGCATAGCAAGATCTTGTGCAGATCATTTAGACCAATAAGCACATGAGTTTAATAAAAAGCTTTAATTTAAGGCACATAAGCAGATATGCTAGCTATTAAGTTGGAAGCTTAGTTGGCTTGAGGTCAACCTTTTATTTATCTCGTTTTTAAGATTTTCGACTTACTTGAACTGCTTTCTTTCCAATCCGAACCGCTTTTGTTTCTTAGACTTTTTTCCACTTCAATTGACCTCTATCTTGTACTACATCAATGCTGGTTAAGTTGTAGGTGAATGTATAGAGTAAACTGAACTCAAGCTTAAAAATGTCATTAGCATCAGTCATCAGTCATTACCAACTCTTGTGTAGTCAAGCAGTTTTGTCCCTCTAAATCTCAGTCTAAATCCAACCCATGATAAATAAAGTTCACCCAAATATACGTCAACTGTGACGTATACAACACATAAAAGGAAAGAGTTTTTTGAAATGGATCCAAAGTAACTAAAAATTAGACCTATTTTAAAAGTCAAAAATCACTAAAAATTGGATTTATTTCAAAATGTAGTCTATAAAATTTGACCTATTTCAAATTTTCCCTTTAAGGAACAAGCTTGACTAGATAATTAGGAAAATTAGGAAACAAGCTTGACTAAAAGTATATGGAAAATTAGGGAAAAGTTACTTAATCTCCTAAACACAGGTCCTCTCATCTATAATTAGACTCTAAATCCCAATTACTCATCTCACTAATTACCACCTCTCATCCCTCCCCTTCTCTCTTAAATCCCCATTAAGGCATAAACAAAACACACCACCTCTCTCAACTACCTTAACCAACTGCCTAACACCACCCCCACCCCCCCCCCCCCCCCCCCCCCCCAACATTTTACCTATCTATCCAGTCCAGTCCAGTCCAATCCCTCCCTCCCCCCCCTCTCTCTCTCTCTCTCTCTCTCTCTCTCTCTCTAGAAAGTTCTCCACAACTTTGCAGAACTCCCTTTCAAATTTCAATCACCAAGGCCTTTGTTTTAAGCAAAGCAAAACCCAGAAACCAGAGAAATCACTCCACAAATCCCATAAATTCAAAAAACAGAGCAAACCCAATTCATATTTCTTCCTGTTTTTTCAACCCAATTCATAAAGTTTCAATCTTTGTTCAGTTCTTCATCTGGGTTTTGCTAAAATCCAACTTCTGATCCCAACCCTCAAATGTGGCGGCCGTGGAGCAAATCAACTGTTCAGATTCACGGCACGTCATCCCCATCCTCCCCCTTCTCCTTCTCCTCCTTCAAAGACATCCAAACCCTCTGCGCCGACGAAACCGATGACCACTCCCAGCAACCGACAACCGGCGCCGCCACCAAAAAAGCCTCCGCTATTTTCCATCGCGTCCGAGTCGCCAACTCGCTCCTCCGCGCCTGGTCAGCCGCCCAGCCCTTCACATCCTCACACCTCAAACCCCAATCCGACGATGAAATCTCCACAAAACAATCTGAGCCGTCGATCAGCTCCATCCCGGGCGCGGAGAAACGCATTGTCGTTTACTTCACAAGCCTACGTGTCGTTCGGTCGACGTTCGAGGACTGCAAGACCGTCCGATCGATTCTCCGAGGGTTTCGCGTCTCCTTGGATGAACGAGATCTGGCGATGGACCACCGGTTCTTAACCGAGCTGCAGCAGATTCTGGGTCAACAAACTAAGTTGATGTTGCCGAGGGTTTTCATTGGCGGGAGGTACGTAGGGGGCGCCGACGAGGTGAGAAATTTGCACGAGACGGGCGAGCTCAAGAACTTCGTGGAAGGATTGCCCGCACAGGAACCGGGCGTATGCGACACGTGCGGCGGGTACAGATTTATTCTGTGCGACGAGTGTAGCGGCAGCCACAAGTTGTACTCTGAGAAGAACGGCTTCAAGAGTTGTACGGCGTGCAACGAGAACGGTCTCATCAGGTGCTCTTCTTGTTCGTGTGCGCCGCTCTAATTTAGTAATTTTCCCTCTAAGTTAGAAATAACAAAAATTAGAGAAAAATGTAAAAAAAGAAGGGATAAAATCCACTTGGAGGGATTTTTTTTTTCAGTTTTTGTAGTTTTGTTATTAAAAATGTTGTTGGGCATGTAAGAATGTGCAGGCCCGGCGCATGTGGGGGTGTGGCTGGCTATGTTGCCACCCAAATTATGGATTAAAAAGGTTAATGTCAGCTAACTTTGATTATTATATTTGAGCTGAATTTAAGTACATTTTTTCTTCTTCCTGAATTTTTTTTTTATTTTTTCACTCTTTCTGTTTTTATTTTTGAGAAATTTTAAGGTCCAGAGATTTCCCTCCGGATCTAGCCCGAGGAGTAGGAAATTGAAACCATTCAAATTGAGTATCTTTATTACTAGTCCATCTCACATTAATTAAAGGTTTGAATCTCTTTTTTTTTTTTTTGTTGTTTCTCTTGAACGTTTTAGATTTTCTGATCATTAAACTCCATGAGGTTGTAAGAGAAGTCAAATTCGTAACCAAATTGAACATTATATATATATATATTCTTTTAAAATTTATCCATTGGACTGTCAAAGAATTTTCCCGCCAACAAAAATTGCATATATATCTTGTCTTGCACGTGAAGAGGAATTGAAATTTTAGACGTGGAGATTGAATAGAGATCTTGTATTCACAGTTCCAAAGTCATGTTAGACAATTGAAATTTTCAAATTAAGTGTATGTTTAGTCTAAAGAATAAAAAAAACGAGGCACTTATATCAAAACGCCCCATTTTTAAATCTGACGGAATTTAGTTAGTGAATTAGAGCTCATGAGGAAAATTGTTGGTATTTTGTGGTTCCCTACGTTTTCGGACAAGGGGAAGAAAACCCTTTAATTTTCATATTCTTTGTACAAAAAGACACATGAAAGTTTCATTTTAAATAACCAAACCCAGTGCATGTTTAACCAATGAGCAAAAATGTAACATATTCGAGAAAGCACAAAGGTTTGGAGCCTCTCACCCTTTGTTCGAACTCTCTACAGATGCATTCTTTGGGGTTACTGGTTCTGCTTTGGCATATCAGTTGATCTGGGATCAAAAGTACACTGCCGCCTCATGTGCTACTAGAGATACATGAGAAGGAGAACTAGTCTATTTTCAATGTGTATCTACTATATCAAAAAAGGGAAAAAAGAAAGGAAAACTAATGAAAAGAACTTGAAAATTTTGAGTTTTAATGATAAGGACAAAATAAAGGGTAAAGTAAATAGTACCAAGATTGACTTTTTAGTGTAAAAATATAATTTTTCTTTAAAATAAACAGTATATAGATCTTATACATTAAAAATCCTTTAAAATAAAAAATGAAGCCTAAAAATACGAAGCCCAAGGCCCATTTTTCTTGTGTAACCTTGAGGTTGGCATAAGTACAATGATGTGGATTTGGATCCCATCCGATTAATATTATAGAAGTTCTAGGGATCCTCACATCTTAGCTGTTTATCATACATCGTGTGGTCAGAAATTATTTTAAATTTTTTTATTTAAAATTAAACATAACGAAAACTGATTATACGATGTATGATGAACGACTATAATGTAAGGATCATTAGGATCCTCACAAAGAGAATCCAGAAATGACCTCATCCCAAATGATGTATGTCGGAGAAGATGCACATTTGATGCTCACCTCTCATTATCTCTTAAAAATTATTAGGTCAAATGTCACTAGTTTAATAAAGTGATTAATAGAGAATTGGCACATATCGTTTTAGGAATATACCCATCTTTGTTTCTCACCTAAATGAATATAGAAAAAAGTTTACAAATTGTACAAATGAAGCTCCATTTTGATAGTGTACGCTTAAGTTTTTGGAGAAACTTAGGTAATTAAAAGATGAGCTATGTGGTTTCGTTCAGTCCAATTCATCCTTTACGTCCTTTTTGATCGTATGTATCAAAGCTCAAGCTTGGTTTGTTTTGAAGAGAGATTTCAAGAAATGACAGATCTATTCACTTTATCAATAACCGAGTCAGATCAGTGAACTGAATTACTTGTAATGGTTAATTGTTACAATTGCGAAAAAAGGAATCTGTTTTCTTATATAAAATCATTCATATATGTGTGGATATAGATTACATATCCATTTCTTTATATGGACCCATTTAATTCGTTTTTCTCCCATTCAAATCAACTGAAACAAATAGAAGATTATGCAAAACGAACCTTATCAATTTACAAATACAGCTCGTACTTATGACTATTAGTTTGGGCAGGTTGACCAATGCACATGTGATATGGTTCCCGTTTGGAACGAAGTTAAACTTTGTGAAACAAGCATAAATTTAGGTCCACCTCACATAACATGCATGTGACAAAGTACCTTATACCACTTCAATCATGGAGGCATAGGTCTTACTTTTGAGAAGGATGCGCTGCCATTGATTTCAATGGAGCTGTACACACCGGATGATGTGCAAATTCCCATGTTAGATGTACTTTATATAATTCATCGTTTTAGATGATAGTGTCACAAATCAAGATTCAATAGTCATTTCGTTTAATGACACTCAGTCTTCACCCTTCTTGTTATAAGCCGTATCAATGGTTCCTACATCACAAACCAAAACCAACTGGCTTCTCAAAAGCTCATTTAAGAGACTCAAAACTCCTACACATTGATCCAGCGTCACTGGAAATATAGATAGTCCGACATTTTCTATACCAGGAGGTTGTGTTGTCTATTTTTAAAGGAGACCAGAAAGCCCCACATACGGTAATGGGTCTAATTCAACTAAGTACTCATTCAAGCACAAACCCTAAAAAAATTCAGCAGCAAGTTAATGTGGTCCGGCTATGGCGGGTCCAAAACCCTAAAAGCATTTTCAAGAGAAGTTCTAAATTTTCGTTAAACTAGCAAGTGACCAGTGTCAAAAAATTATTAATTTAGTTACTCAGTTTAATTTTTTTACTTCCAACAACACTCTATTTAACAAATTTTGAAAACTCAACCTCCTCATTTTCTAAATGATCTTCTCTCTTCCTTTCTCCTTGCTTAAGGGTCCACCGTAGAGTTTTATTATCTTTTTAATATTTAGCAAGTGAACGGTTGCTCTTTAAATTTAAAGCGTGACTATTCATTTTGTTATACCAGAGACACTTTACAATATCTTGAAAATGAATTTTTTCAGTTTAGCTCTTTAAAATAGAATTTTAGTTGTTTTACATAAAGCCTCTATGAGTATAGCAACACTTTATTAGCTTACAAAACCCTTAACACAATCCATACACACAAAAACAAAAAGATAGCATTTCCCTTTCTTAATTTTCTGTGTTTCTTTTATGCGAAAACAAAACCCCAAGGAAGGAAACCCTATTTATCTAAGTTGTTCAAATAAGAGGCCAGGCCTTGCTGCACTTTTTTTTTTTTAAGTGTTGTGGACTGTGTCCAAATGGCTTGTATGCTCTATAAGTGTACATAAACCCAAGCTGAAAGTTTCAACTCTCTTATTAAACATTCATTAAGTATGTCAAATTAATTTCTGTATTTCAAATTTAAAGAATGAAACAGTCAGTCTCTCTCGAGAGTATCCGAGACTCGAGAGTGCGCAGACCTCAAACCTCGTTGACTTCTTTTCCAACAGAACAGAGATACACACTCAAAGAGGGTATGACCTAATGGGCCCCATTAAGGTCATTGTAACTTGCAGTTGCAGAAGATGTTGCTGGGCAAATAAGACTCTCTAACCCACCGAAACCTGAAGACTTGGAAGCCACTTCAGATCAGCAACTCAATTTTATAGAAAGATTATATTTCACTATCTTCTTTCCCCTACCTGTAAAAGATATGTTAATTACTGACCAAACACCATTATATCTGCTTGAGCTGTATAGTTTAACTCTTTTCACAATTTAGGGCATGCCTTATCTGTTATTTGTTACTAATGTCATTTTTCTTTCACAAAGGACCGATTCCAAGCCAACAAGGCTCCTTGCTTGGTGAGAGTCGAGAAGAAACGTGTAGTACGCAATCTTATCCCTTGGTTTGCGAAAAAGTTATTTTCACGACGCGAATCTTTAACCTTTTGGTCACAAAGAAGCAATATTTTCGTTACGTCAAGGCTCGCCCTCTAATGTATTTTTTCATGTTAATTTAAAAAATAATAGGTCCACATGAAGCACATCCAAGTAGGAATCAAGATATTGTTATTTTTGGAGAACAAAAATATTGTTTATTATTAATTAATATGATCATTTGGGGTCCACTTCACCAAAACTTGACAAATTGGTCTGCATCATTGTTTGTGGAGACAAAATAATACAACCATGATGAACTACTAATTAATTGTTAAATGGTTGTCTTGTGCAGGCCGGAACTGAAACTGGTTCATGGAATTTTTTTGGTCAACTAAACTGGTTCATGGAATTCGTGTGATGGAATGACTGGTTCAAGTTACAGATTCAAGACTTCTCCAAAAAAATAAAAAAGAAAAAAAAGCTGTAAAAGAGATTTTTGTTGTTCTCCGTCATGTAATGTTATTATTCTTTTAGGTTCTTAATGATTTACGTGTGATGGAATGACTAATTCCAGTTACAAATTCACAAGAGATTTTTTAGCATGCTCATATTATAACATGTGTTTTTATTTTTCATTAATGTAATATCAATTATATCGTCCATCTATTATAAGACATAAAAGAAAACATTACGGTGTCAAATATTTCTATTACATGTAAAATTTTCTCCAAATTCACCCCGCACCCAAATTATAATAAAATGCAGAAGAGCAAGTAATGTTTGCCTAACTCAACTGCACGATGGCATATGATCCATTTTAAGTTATAATTGTGGCAGTATGTATCTGGGGTATGAGTCCTGTGTACATAGTTCAATGAAAGTAAGCTTGAACTTTAACATAAAAAGAAATATGGCTCGAACTATGCAGAGAAGAAGAGACCAAAAGAAGGGAAATTACACAGAATGATCCCTATATTCCCAATAGAACTAAGAAAAAATGCAACAAAAACAAGCAAAAATGGACATGAGCATATTCAAGTAAATGCAGGTGGGTTCCTATGAAGTTATGACGATGCCAGTATCGCTAGCTACATTACCTTCTCTTTGTACCTTCTCCTTCTACCTTGACTCGTAAGCACTTTGGTTTAATAACCCAAGCCTTCTATCTTTTCCCCCCTCAAACGTATTAATTGTACTAAAGAAATACCACAATTGAAGTTTGTTAAGTCATCTAACTGTTATTACATAACAAAATGAAGAATTTGATTGAACATTGAGTTAACACACTTCTAATCAAATGACTAAATGACTTTCAATTTTCCAGTAAACAATTTTCAGTTTGGCTTTTTGCCAATTGTTCAAGGATGACTTCGAAGATGAATGATTTAGATTATTTTATAACAGTGCATAATGAAAAAGAGAATGACGATCACCAAATAAAGTCAAATCTACCTGATCTTAATTGCCATCATCTTATCTCCATTCTTTGACAAACATTTGGTTTTATTCTTCAAAATCATAATGTAGCTTAGATCAATTCAAATCACATGCATTAAAAACACGCGACTTATGCACCTGTTAATCTGATTAACTAGTAATTAACAACAACAACAACAACAACAACCAAATTTTATCTCATTAGTGAGTTCGGTGTATGAATCTTAGAACACCATTTCGCTCGGTTTTGTACTAAGTCTTCTAAACAGAGTGCTCCATGTCATTTATTATAGTCTCTTTCAAAGTCTTCATGGATCTTTCTCTACATTTATAGGTCTTTGGTTCGCCTGTTAATCTAATTAACTAGCAATTAAACTGATCAAAATTCCAAATCTTGATTAGTACTGTCATCATCCAAAAAGAAAATATCAAAACCAGAGGTCAATGATATTTCTAGGAAAAATGCTACAAACTGATCAAGTGGCAACCCTACAAAAGTAGGAAGGAAGAAAAGGAAAGCTCACCCAAGATAATCACGTGAGCGGCACGTGGCCACGATAGGACGGCGCTACATATAAATATGTCTTCGAGTTCGAGCCCAGTCGCTGGCTGCTAGCAACAAGACAAACAAGGCAACGTTGCTGGATTGCCGCGGAACCGAAACATTCAACATTCCGTCGTCTTTTCCCCAATATTTCGGTCCTTCGGTAAGTTTTCGGTCAAGCATTTAAAAAAATTGGAACTTTCCAAGTTGTAAGTAATTGCACGCGCTTTCTTCCACCTCTGTCCAACTTCTTTTGCAGTTCTGACTCAATATTTCTTCTCTCTCCGTGTAAATGTTGCAGCTTGGGTAATTTTTATTCTGTTGACGTGGGAATTAATGGATCAAAGGTGGAGAGTTTCTGGGTTTTCTCAGCACCGCCGGATTCCGGTGGTAGCGGTGGTGTTTCTTTTACTGTTTCAACAGAATCTAAGCCCGTGCTGGTCTCTTAACATTGAAGGTCTGTGAACTAGCAGTACTTGTTCGTTCTTCTGTATTTCCGTACAGTTTCCAATCAGCTGCTTAATGGGTTTTGGCTTTTTTGGTCAGCTGCTTAATGGTTATTGCTTTTTTGGTCAGCTGCTTAATGGGTTTTGGTTTCTGATAAATGGGTGGCGTTTGGATGCAGGTTTGGCGTTGTTGAGGTTCAGGGACAGGGTGGTGACAGACCCCTTTGGGGCTTTATCGAATTGGAACAACAACGGTGGAGAAGATGATCATTGTTCCTGGTTCGGGGTGGAGTGCTCGGATGGAAAAGTGGTCATCTTGTGAGTGGCATTTGCTGATAAATCTCTATTTTGTTTAAGTTATTATCTTTTGCTTCGGCATCTTGTTTTCGAGTAATTATTGTGTGGTATTGGAACACGGCTCAAATCATTTGAAGTTCTTCCATGCCAAAATAGGAAATGGTTTTTGTGAATTTGTTGAGTGTTATAGAGTAACAAAATTGTTTCTCATCCTGTGTTGTGAACAAGGTTCTAAAAAATGCTAAACGCTAGTCGGACGGCGAGCTAGAGCCTAGCGTCCAGGCGGGTGCTTAGGCAGATTTAAATAAATCTATTATATTTCGTGTAAATAAGAGTCTGTTTATACTTAAAATATATATAATTTCATTATAAACTACAAAATAGAATGACATATATATACATATATATATATTAGGAGATATTGGAACATAATGAAAACGTGGGAAACATGCATATAGTGTGTATTCATTTGAGTATTCAACAAGTCTCTTACAATTTATTGAAAAAAAAATAAAATACAAAATGAAAGTTATCTATTTTCTGTCTAAATGAGTCGCAACTTAGGCGGGTCTGGGCAGGCTAGGCAGGTGCTTGGGCAGTTTAGGCAGGAGCCACAGCAGGTCTAGACACCATTTCTTAATTTTCAAACGCTTAGGTATTAATCGGGACGGTAACCAAACAAGCTAGTGCCTCGACAGGGATTTTTAGAACAGTGGTTGTGAAGAAGTGTTTCTGCATTGATTATTAACATGATTTGAAGGAGGGGTTTCATATATCACTAAATAAATTTATTCTGCCAGTGTTCTAGCTTGAAGCTTCAAAGTGACTTGAAACGGCAATCCTTTAAAAAAGCACCGATGCTGAGATCTGCTAAAACAAAGTGTTGGGAAATCATAAATCTTTAAAGATTTATATCTGGCAATCATATGTGTTTGGAAACTCTTCCATCTACTATATTAATTCATGGTAATGTCAGCCTAATGTTACATTTGAAACAACTTGCAGGAATTTGAGAGATCTTTGTCTTGGAGGAACGTTGGCTCCTGATTTAGGGAAGCTGGCTTACATAAAATCTATGTAAGAATATTACTGGTTCCAAGTCCAACAAAAGGAATCCAGTGATTTTTTTTTTCAACCTTCTGCTTCAAGGCATTACTCTGAATCTGGTACTTCTTACTTCAGCATTTTACGCAATAATTCGTTTACTGGAAACATTCCGAGGGAGATCGCAGAGCTAATGAAGCTGGAGGTTTTGGACCTGGGATACAATAACTTTACTGGACCTTTCCCATCTGATTTCAGCAACAATCCGTCTCTTACTACTCTGTACGCACATCTTTTTCGAACTGTTCGGGATCACGAGTCTTATTCTCTAATGGCTTCCACAATTTCACTAAACTCATCTTGTGATTTTTATTGCAGTTTACTTGACCATAACAGATTTCTTGGTTCCATATCTTCTGAACTCCACCAATTGAAGATGCTTTTGGAATGTCAGGTAGATCAGGATCGACGCCTAACAGATGCCGCCTTCTGTACGAGCAGATCTATCAGCTGGTAGGAAGTTAAACTGATCTAATATTATGTCTTGGATTCGACATATAAACAGCCAGAGAATTTCAAACCTAATTTACTAAAAACTAGTTCATTTCTTCTCACAGTATTTCTAATAATTCCCTGGTTCTGTTGAGTTAGCTGAGACAAGTTCTTTATGTTTTGGCACTGTACAAATTTCTATGGGGAAGTATTACAAACAGTTTTGAACGTTGTAACATATGTTTCCTTCATTTAGTCTATGATGACCTTCTTTTTTTTGTTAGGAGCACTGCCAAACCTGAAGATGCAGCTCACCGTAGGCTGCAGCAGGTGGCAGATGACAAAGCACCGTCCAGATTCAGAAGGGCTAAAGAAAATGAACGCGGTTCATTACCAACTTCTGCTTCTTCATCTTCCTCACCACCGCTTCATCAGCCTTCTTTACCACCTTCACAGCCATTTTCAGTCTCATTGCCACCATCAACATTTTCATCTTCACTGTCATTAGATTCCCCTTTACCATCACCATCACCATCATCTTCTCCTTCTGCATCTCCCTCAAGTAGTTTTCCGGCTCCTTCACCCTCACCCTGGGTAGCGCCAACTCCCACCTCTCCAGTCCCAAGAAATCCACCAACTACTATTTTTCCAACACCAGGGTCCAGTCCAGCACCAATTCCTTCCCCTTCTTCAAGTCCAAGTCAAGTGGTTCAAAGCAATTCGAATTCAAGGCATCGTGTAGTTATTATATGCGCAGGCATTGTTACGGGTTGTTTATTGATATTCCTTTCGGTTGTTGGCATTATTGTCGCCAGAAGCAGTAAGGTTGTTACTGTCAAGCCCTGGGCCACTGGGTTAAGTGGGCAGTTGCAGAAAGCATTTGTAACAGGTGAGATTTGTGAGAGTACTCAGGCTCCTGCATACACAACCTTAAACACTTGTGCATGTATACATGTATGTATATATTCACATCTGATTCCCTTAGATTCAGGGTGGTCAAAATTCCAGTTAAATTCCATACATGTTTCAAATAATCAGCTTGTTGAACTGTGTTCAGGTGTACCAAAGCTGAACCGATCAGAACTTGAGGCAGCTTGTGAAGATTTCAGTAATGTAATTGGATCTCTCTCAGACGGCAACGTTTATAAAGGAACTCTTTCAAGTGGGGTAGAAATAGCTGTGACATCGATCACAACGGAATCTGCTGCAGGCTGGACTAAAAGTTTGGAGGCTCAGTTCAGAAAGAAGGTACATAGGAAACAATGTCTATGAAAGTCATTGCAATATTTAGTCCGAGAGTCCCTAATTGCCACATCTGTCACTGTCTATTCTCTATAAACATGTCTTTTTTTGCTTTTGCAGATAGAAACATTGTCCAAAGTAAACCACAAGAACTTTGTAAATCTTATCGGGTTTTGCAAAGAAGAGAAACCATTCACAAGAATAATGGTTTTTGAGTATGCTCCAAATGGAACGCTTTTTGAGCATCTACACAGTGAGTACTTTCTCTCTATGTTGTGAAGAGAATATTAATGAAGTCAATCTGTACTTCATATAGCATATTCGTAATCAAAAAGCATTTGCACAGAAGGCTTATGTGTGTTCGCGTGCTTGCACGCGTGATCATGTCCACCTCTGTCACATTCATACATACATGCATGTCAAGTAAATTCTACGAGTTTACAGAGAATTCTCACATTATTTCCAGGAAAAAAGTGAAACGTTCGAGTTAGTTTTAAGCGGTAATATACCTGCTGGTATGCACAGTTTTGATAGTATCGAATTTTTGTCTTGCAGTAAAAGAAGCAGAGCACTTGGACTGGGGAATGCGACTACGAATAGCCATGGGCATGGCATACTGTCTAGAGTACATGCACCAACTGAAACCACCTGTAGTTCAGAAGAACTTGCAATCATCCTCTGTATACCTGACCGAAGACTACGCAGCCAAAATATCCGATTTTACCTTCTTGAGTGGAGTGACAACAGCGAAGATGGGATCCGTTGACAAGAAGCTTCACGATTCCATGTCCACAGATCCAGAAAGCAATGTCTACAGCTTCGGGGTAGTATTGTTTGAAATGATCACCGGTAGGATTCCATACTCCGTGGAAAACGGTTCTCTTGAAGACTGGGCGTCACACTATCTGAAGGGAGATAAATCATTGAGAGAAATAGTGGATCCTACCCTAAACTCTTTCCAAGAAGAAGAGCTAAGCGAACTGTTTCGAGTGATAAAAGACTGCGTCCATCCTGACCGGAAACAAAGACCAACTATGACAGAGATCGCGGGTAGGTTAAAGGAAATCACAGCCATGGGGCCTGATGGAGCCACACCGAAACTATCACCTCTTTGGTGGGCAGAACTTGAAATTATGTCAACAGAAGGAAACTGATCGTGAAACTATTTGATTTTCTTGTCTATTTGTTTATTATTTTGTGTGATATCTAAGAAAGTTAGAGGAATGGTGTTGTAGATAACTGTCAAAAGTGAAAATTTTAAGCTTGTATACACGAAAATATACGTCTGAAATCAATAAAGTTTGACTTTCCGAGTGCTGAAAGCCTCCGTTTAACGTTCTCCATATTCCATGTTCAAGTTTCATCTTCGAGAGCCTGAAAATTACGGCAAACCTTTCGAGGGCAACCATCGTTTGCAGATTCTCTGCATGATCTTGACGGCGAAATTAAACAGAAACAAAATAAAAGAAAATCTGAAATATGTTTCAATAGTTGAGATGTATAGATGTCCTCACAATTTTGTTCATGTACAATGGGATTGTATAGGAGATCCATTTTCTCATCGATTGGCATCAAACAATTCTCAAGGTAATATGATCGAGAAATTTAAAAATTAAAATTTGAAAAAAAAAAAAGTGGGAAAATGGAATGCTAATCTTCAGCCTGTGCCCCTATGTGATTCTTTCTTGCATAACCATCTCCAACTAGAGCGGTCAACGAGGCTGCTTCCGGCTTGCAGTGCAAGTTAATCGCGATCTATTGACAATGCCATATATACAAAAACATTCCGTTTGTTGTCTATTTCCCTTGAACCATACCTTCTTGTGGATGGGCAGGTTTGCAGCTGAAGAGTCTTCGAGATCATTGTTTCTGGGAGACATTTTCGAACAATGAAGCCCCTGTAATATTCTCTCTTCAACACTAAAGATGAAGTCCCCCACACACTGGACTCGTGAGCAGCATATATACATGCTAATTATCATCTCAATCCCTTGCTCGATTATACAAATCGATAGTGTCTGTGTGGTTGGGGTCCATGCAGAGAGCAGCTTGACAATCTTGGAGAGCAGAGCTTAAATCACCAATTGACTCGTGAAATGCAGCTCGAAGATGAAGCATTTGCAAGTCAGGCTTGAAAGATATGGCCCTCGAAAGCTCTTCTATAGCTTCGGTCTCTCTTTGTTCATCCATCAACACTGTTGTCATGGGACTCCATACATTAGCACAATGTTTTCGGTTTCACAAGTACAAAAACTCTTCCTACTACTAATCAGAGACTATTAGCAAGCCTAAAACAAAAGAAAAGTTCGTGTACTTGGCAATGCGAGTGCTAAATGAGTGGTAGATGTGTGCGTTTTACAATAAGAAATTGGATTCTCAACCACTTCTTTGACAACAAAGTGCAGAAAATTGGGGAAATGAGAAATAAAATTAAGGGGTCAGAATGGTTACCTGCTGCCCTGTATCTGTACGGGTATGTCCTCAATGGGTCCAATTGTGATGCCATATTGAGATCATTCTTTGTCATCTTGGGATCACCGTACTCTGAACGTTTCTCGTATGCTGATGCATTACTTTGTGCCTTCTCTATGAGTTTGGTCATCTCATCATATGCAGCTTTTCGTTGATTCTTAAGATGATAAACACGCGCCAACCCTTGATGAGCTCTTGTATGCTTGATGTCAAGAGCACTCACATAGCAGTCCACAGCCTTGTCCAGCGTACCACAATCTACATATATACTCCCCAAGTTATTTAGTGCCTGAAAATTTTCAGAATAACTTGTCAAACAAGAATGTGAAGGTACAACGATAAAGAATGCACGCATAATAATTCTATCAGAATACTCTATTGAACAAGAATGTGAATGTACAATGATGAAGAATGTGAACATAACGAAACAATTCTCACTTGTCCTTTACGAAGACCATCTGAAGGACACTTGAGAGCTTCCTCCAGCAGTTGAATAACATGAGATGATGCTTCTGAGTCCAAGCTAGCATCTGCTAGTACATACGCTTTAAGGAAAAAAGCTTCAAATGATCTCTGAATGTGAATGGACTTTTCTGCCTTTGCGAGAGCTTCTTCACGATTTCCAGTGTCATATAAAATCCACCCTTCATAGACCAGCCTCTCATGCTCAGAGCCAGAGTTATTTCTTGCCATGCGCAAACTGCGCATTGCAGCCTTCTGACAATTTAACCTAATAAAGTTCGTAAGTCAGGAAGCTTACATCGGCGAAGTCAAAGTTCTACATTGCCAGCACATTTCCTTTATTATTGAACATTGATAAATCAGCATATAAATATCATTAATCCAACTACATTTTGATATGAAGTGATTCAAATGTGCGGTGGGTTTTATACTAAATAATAAGAAAAACTGCTAATTCTACAAATATCCAACATTTCAATCAAATTAGGCTAAAAAATAATTCAGATATCATGACTATGTGATGACATTTTATGAGTAAAAGATAACAGGAAGTATATTACACAAAGATTGTAGCTGGATAACACAGAAGACAATAGCTACGATCAGAAAAACAAACCGTAAAAGGAGTAAAGATTGCCGAAACTGCAGGAGGCTCTTTCGAGGGGTATGTCCCAACATCTGATGTATGATAGCCAGAGATCCAATGTCATCAACAGAAGACCATTGATCATATAGTTGCATCCAGCACTCAGCTTCACTCAATTGCTTAACCCGAAGGCTGAGAAGCCCCACCAAGTAATCCCCACTAACCTTTCCATGAAACATCATGTAATTGGGTTCCAAAGTTAATAAAACGCAAATGTCTCTGAGAGCACTTTCATAATCTTCAAGTGCAATGAAGAACCAAGCCCGCAATTCAATACAGTCGGGTGACAACTTAAACCTAACAGCTTTGTCAATCTCCAAAATGGCTGCTCTAATTTGCTTCTCCTCCAAATTTGCAACTGCTCTGTATTTATATGGAAATGAAAGAGTGGGATCTAATTCAGTTGCAGTGCTCAAATCCAAAATCTTTTCCTTACCGATGTTGTAGAGGGCTCGTTCCTGGTACATCCACCCTGCTGGTTTATACTCATTGATAATAGAGCTCATCAACGTATATGCCGAATACTGTTGCCCCTGTTTGTACTTCGTCCTTGCAACACCAGCCACTGAATAGACATGACCTGCCTTAGCTGCAGCCAGAAAGCGAAACTGAGCTTCCTTATACTCTCTTCTCTCAAGCAAAACACAACCCAATTGATGCAACACAAGCATCTTCTGCCACCTCTGCGTTACGCATTCTTCCAACCTCTCTAATAACATTACAGTTATGTTTGACACCATACTTTCCTCCATTGCCACATGGCTTAAGAAATAATACAATAAGAAACCATACCCTGCCATGGCTAATCTCTCCCTAACCTTGGAGCTACAAAGAAATTTCATCGCCTTTGAATTATGCAGAGAACTTGGGAGCTCTCTCAGCAGCACCTGCAAGCAGGCAGCTACAAGAAGATATGCCATCTCCTCCAAACCATACTCAATAAGAACCAATGCATCATCAATGTTGTCGACGGATGAAGCTAAATAAGCATCACAAGAAGACTTCATCTCCTCACAACAGAACCTATTTGCAAACGAAAGCAACTCCACAACAATCTCAGGACTAAACAAGTCTAACCTCCTAGTCCTACTATACACTCCCATAGCTCTCATTCCCTTCACAGATATACCATTTTCTGAAAAATCAATCCTACCCTTTTTCGATTCTTTAAAGGATCCATACAACATAGCTTCAAAAGGTCTAGAAAGCGACGCAATTTTACACCTTCTACAATTAATTTCTTCATCTCCTATACAAAATGAAACATCACTTTCCTCCTCATCTAAACCCACACACTCACTGCCCTTAAAAGCAGGCACACTAAAAGCTTTAGCAGTGTCTTTCCCACATTGGCAATGACCCGAAACCAAATTCGGATCAACCCCATTCACCAAAGCAACCTTAGGACACTCCATTACTTGCCCGCCACAATCCATGGCGGCCATCCCCACAAACTCATCCTGCCTCCTCTCGAACCTCAACCACGCCGAGAGCACAACCTTATCGTTCACATCAGCAGCATTCTGTCGAGCAGCTCTCAGAGACCGTCGAAGCAGCTTGGGATCACCAAGACCACTCAACAGAGAGTACTGCTCAACGCACAACAATGACCTTTCAGATTGAGAGGAACACCCTTCCAACCGGCGATACAAGTCGGCCAAGTTTTCGACGAAATCAGAGGGCTTGAGGTGGGGGTCTATGGAGGGCTCAAGGAGGTCAGTTGCTGGGACTCCACAGGGAAGCAGAAGAGCTTCAGCCCCAGAGCCCGAGCTCAAAGTTTTGGGCTTTGAGTTCGACCCAAATGACTTAATCAGACGGGAATTAAACTTAGCTCTCGAAACGCCGCCATGGGTTTTGCCATTGGAGGGTTCGGTGGGATTTACAGCGTGGACTTGTGTGCTTGTGAATCGGTCTAAAAGCTTCAGACCTCGCATATCTAAATGGCAGTAAATCTTCTGCATATATATATGAACAAAAACAAACAAACAGAGAATAAGACTTGTAAAGTTCTGAGCTTTTGCAAAAGCACCACAAACACAGAATAATGTCTGAGTTTTGAGTTTTTACCTCCGGGGAGAGAGAGCTGGTGAAGCAGGCTATAGGCCAATGTGGTGTTTGTTTCCCGAGAAAATAAATGGAAGAAAATGGCTTCTGCTTCTGGGTTTTCTCTTTTCTTTCATGGGTTTTACTCTCTATGCTCTCTCCCTCTCTCTAAAGACTCTGTCTTTCTCACTCTGCGCTCAAAGGGGTTTTGGTTAACTGGCAAGTTTATGTTGGTTTTTTTTTTTTTTGGACAAGTGCAAGTTTTTGTTGTTTAGATGGCGAACTCCAAAGCAAAGGATTTTTTTTCTGTATATCGGAGTCAGTTCAGCAGCACCCACCGTTGTCAACCACTACAAGGATGCCACATGGCGCTTCAAGTTGGGAAAATGAGCCTTTCCCAAGTGAAGTTGGTCAACTGGTTAATTTTCCATCTTAGCTTATCATAAGCTGGATTAATGATTAATTTACTACAAAATGTGGATTAAGGACAAATTGAATGTTAAGTAAAGGTCATTTGGCTCACCAAATGGATGATCGATCCTTATAATTAGGCAACTTTTATTTTCTTTTTAGATAAGAGTAGGCAACTTCTTTTTTGCACTACCATATGAAGTAAATTAGTCACATTACCTTACTAAACTTCCTTACGTTATGTACCGTCGTTTTATCACTAGACATTCTTTTCTATTTGATAAACTAGCCATGAAGATTCAAATGTTGAACCTCTTTCAATATTGCGACAAAAACCACGCTAACTGAAGAAGTAGTTGGTGCAGGAAAAGTGTAGACGTTGATCTTTAATATAAAAAGCAACATTATTATATTATAAACAATGCACTAATCTTGTGATTGTGTTCAATTAGTGGTTAAATGTCTACATCATGCTCATGCATGCTCCAACAAATTGGTTTTTAATGACCATACATTAGACACCACCCAAACAAATATCCCAACTCTAGATTTTGCATACACTAATTTTGGATGCCAATTTTCCAAGTAACATTTATCTGTATGAATATACATCATTTAGCAAAATAGGAAGCTAATTTTCAATTTTTTTAAAGAAAATTATCAAATAATTATCTTATTTCTTTTACAAACGATAACGTTAGTGGGTAAATTGTTATTTTTCGCACCAGAATACATAAACATAATTATTTTTTGCAACTACAGCAAATCGCCATCTAACTCAATTAATTATCATTTTTATTAAATAATGGGGAACTCAAAGACCAAATTAATAATGGGATTAAGAAGAGATTAGATCTAAAACAATGCGTGTTTCGGCTTTTGATAAATAATTTAAACTGAGGGTTACATCTATTGGTCTTTCTCCCGCCACTGCTTATGCCTTTAAATATTCAATTGCAAATAATTGGAAGTTGTCGAGCATCTCTGTCAACGACATCTCTACAACTTGGATGCTTATCTTAATAAAAATAACGAGAATAAATTATTGTAGCAATGATTTCTAAATCTAAACTCAATTGGAGTAAGAATTTTTTAACTAAAAATTTATGACCATTGGTTCCTTAATTCATCAAAACATGCAACTATACTCCTTTTCGTCAACTCCGTTAGAACTTCCACCAAAACAAGTCACGTGCCACACACATGAGGTTAAATCAAGGAACAAATATGGAAAACCAAATGACAAAAATTGTAGCAATGGTCCTTCAACTTTAATCCAATTGGAGAAATAGCCCCTCAACTTTAATCCAATTGGAGTAATGATCCCTCAACTTTAACCCAATTGAAGCAATAGTCATTCCAGCATGACTTATTTTGACATAATTCTAACGAAATTGACGAAATAGGTCATAACTGTACATTTTGATAAGTTAAAGAACCAATAATCATGAGTTTTTCGTTGATGGACCATTACTCCAATTAAGTTAAAATTGTTGCTACAATTTTCTCAAGTAACAAAGGAAGAGAAAATTAATAATAATATTATTACTAATTCACCTCAAAACAAAAATAGTAATAGACCAATCTGATCACGTGCGGATGAAGCTACGTGCCTAAAAGACCACGTGTATGCTCTATAGTCCTTTGTTTCTCAAAAGTTCTTGACGGAATTGGATCCTCTCCTGAGCAGGAGATCAGGATCCTCCTGACCCACTAACATGGGTCATTGAATTTTGATCCAACGGCTATAATTATTATAATTTTTAAGGGAACCCCCTGTTTGTAACCGTTGGATCAAAATCTAATGGCCCGTGTTATTAGGTCAGGAGGATCCTAATCTCCTGCTCAGGAGAGGATCCAATTCCGTTCTTGACAGAGCAGACTAAATTGCACCATCTTGTGCAAGTGATGCCAAGTGATCCCTTTGTCTGCTAAATCAGTATCTCCTACAATGCATCCACACAAGCATGGATGCTTGCCCATATCAAATGAAACGGGTACAGTTCCACGCAACTCCTCTTTCAATCTATCTCATCGCCGGATAAGGAAGAGGTGCGTGAGCAACTAGCCCTATCACAACTCTTTTAGGAGAATGTTTGGGACATTCCTCATGGTTTGTGTGTAACACGAGAGAATTTTGAGTCTGACAGTCAAACTACATGGCCTATCCTACGACCTACTATTGACACGCCATTAACTATCGACATGTTATTTTTATTATTCACATAATCAATATTATATCGTGTCAATATACTTCAGTGTAAGTTTAAGAAAAAAGTAAATGACGATGTAGCGACATCTTATTAGATGGCGGGACAAGACACGTAGTCAGGCCGCCTGACCTAATATTTTTCAGTGTAACACATCATCGGGTGACAGGATGATTATGAACAGAGATGTCCAACCAGCCATACAGTTCCTGTATCAGCAGGCAGCAGCACCACAAAGCACATACAAAATTATCAACTTCATAATCCATCACATAATTTACACGTGAAGCAAGATTGCACCCACTCAATAATTAGATTTCTTGCAATTTACTTAATATAATTAAAGTCAATAATTAGAGAGAGAAAAAAAAAATGGGAAACAGTATAAAGCAACGCCAGCTCTAGTGAAAGAAAAAAAAAACTGAATTATGTATACATAGCCAAGATAAATGCTAAGCAAAACTCTCAAAAGCAGGACTCTTTGTTATCTCATATTTTCAGCACAATGTTTTATAATGTTGGCACAAGAATTGACGTTAAACAATAATGTGGTAGAAAGTCCTTAGAGAGTCCCACTTTGAGAGCCTCCTAAGCATCTTATATAGCCAATGCATTTTCTACTATCTAATTGCAACAAAAGAGACAGATTGATAAAGAAGAGGAGAAATGCTAACGTCAATTTCCGTGTCAACATTGTAAAACATTGCCAAAAACACGAGGTGTCAAAGAGTCCATGAAGAGTTCTACTTTTGAGAGAGTCCCTTAGCATTTATAAGGAAGCAAACCAATTATTCATGATTGATTCATGGTCTCTTTTAAATCCATTCATGATTCCCAAATGTCATCCTAGTATGCACGAGAAAAACTTTGGTGCGGCGAGGAATAAATCCCCCTATATCTACTCACACTACGTCACACAAATAATGAAGTAGGGAGGGGGATATGTCTCGTTTACTTGTAACCTAAGGCCATCTCCAACCGAAGGCTGTCAGATGACTCGTTTTAACCCTCTGGCCCTTTACGAAATTAATATTTTCATGAACAATGCATGACCATATTTCTTATCATGTCCACCCGAGGAGCCAAATGACCATAGGCCAAACATGGCCCTGTGAAAAAAAAATCATCTTCAACCGAGGGCCAAAGGGTTATAAGACCAAACATAATTTATTATTTTAATTGAACTACTATGGTTACTTAAATTAAATTACCTTAATATTTTATGTTATGGATTGTCAATAATTTTCATGTTGTTAAATGTTTTTAAAAATGTTGTTTAAGTTTCATGTTGTTAAATTTTTTTTATGTTGTTTAATGTTACTTAATGTTGTTTAATATTGTTTAATGTTGTTTCATGTTACTTAATGTTATTTAATGACTTAGGAAGTTATAGAAGAAAAAAAAATAAAATTTTTAAATTTTGTAAAAAAAAAAAAAAAAAATCAAATATGACATCACCATGTGGCCCGGCTCGGGCCGGCTGGTTGCTTTGGGCCGGTCGGTTGGCACTTTGGCCCTTTTTTGTCCAGTGGGACCCACGAGCCCTTTGGCCTGGCTCTCGATTGGAGACGGTTTTCAAGCTATTTTCGACCCTCTGACCCTCTAGACCCTTCGGTTGAAGATGGCTTAAGAATCCCACCCTACCCTTTTGTTGCATTAGATCATCTCCAAGTCAGTAGTAGTTCACACATCTTTCATTGTGTTAATAGTTTAGTGAGAACTTTGTGCCCTGGATAGCCACACAGATGCATGAACTACTACTGACTTGGTGATGATCTGATGATCTAATGCAACAAAAGGAATATAATTCTAACAGAAACATACTTTTCTTTTCTTCTATTTACTGGTATGCATCAATCCTAATTACAAAAGAAGTGTGAAACGCAGAGTCGATAACATAATTTCATGATGCAACTGTTAAGTCTGGGGCAGATATGCATGAGAAATATGAAAATTCTAAAAGCAGAACAAGTCAAGAAACCGGCAAAACATACCTGTAGTATTTATACGAAGATCACCAAGAGAACTTTTTGGACATCACAGTTAACCTGCCTCCATGATTCGGCCATGCCAAATTACGACCAAATCTCATACCCACCCATAACTATACAAAACTATCATGTAGAATGCACCAGGAATTAAAGTCCCGGTGCTACAAAATGTTCACAAACAAAACTATACTTGGATTCTCGTAACTTGTTGCCAATGTCCTTTAAAGAGTTTTTATGATCCATAGCTTAGATTTCTTTATAAACAGATAAAGAAGAGACGGCCCAATCAAATTGGCATCTGAGAGGCGCTTGCAAAGTTTAAGGTAAGTATCTACACCGCCAGATTGTTGGATCCTTTTCTGTAGTCCCTGCAGCACAGCTGCCCTATCCAAAAACTCCGGGTGCAAACCCAAATCAAGCATTTTTATTACTGTTTCTGCAGCATCATCAAAATGTCCCCCTTTAATGTAACCTCTTAGCAACCACGATAGGCTTTTCTTTTTACCCAGAGAGCTGGAAACATCTGTTCTAGTAAGCAACCGTCTGATGGCATTGGCCTCCTTTTGGGAAGCACAGATGGCTAAAACTATGTCATAGAGGTCAGCATCCGCCTCTTTACCAACAAGTTTCATTTCCCACAACTGCCTCTCGGCCTCAAGGCCACATCCAGAGCAGATATACATAGCCAGGAGCCTCTCATGAACCACCCCATGGAGTAAAGAGCTTCCCTCCTCAATCACCCAATTGGACAGTTGTACTCCATCAGCTATAAGATCTGACTGATACTTCTCAATAAGGCCAACATTATTTGTATCAAATTCAGCTACCAGTCCAGCCCTCGCAAAACCTTTCAACTTCCGCAAAGCTTTCGCAAGTTCATTTAATTCCTTGACCACAGCTGTCATTGCAATGAGGTAACTGTAGACCTCTGGCTTCAGCCCAGATTCTCTTAGATGAATCACCAACTTCACTGAATCCCTGTAGTTACCCTCAACCTGCAGAAACACATTCAATAGTTTCATTCATAACCTTTGGAAACTCTTAAAAATTTTTGAACATATACGTTACGACAAATGAATACAAACCCAACTAATGCTAACAGTTTTCCTTTCTACTGATTTATGTTATGCTAGCTAACCAGTCGTAACAATAATAATTAACAATTTGTGTAATGAATGGCAATCCCTTGGCTATAATTCACTGACATAACCCCGGTTGGTCAATCTGCACATCATCATTTGATACGTATACTAACTAGTTCTATGACGGGGAAAACCGCTAAATTCATCAAAAATGGACGCACCATCCTAATAATTCAGCATGGCAAGGTAAATTCAACTCCAAGACAAACCCACAACCCAAAAATCCTATCACTACCAATGGCATGTGGACAGTTCAAAATGAAATGCATATAAATTCACAAGTACATTTCACAATTGAATAGCATATTATTGAGGACAACAGTAAACAAACACTTACCATCATCTTCCAAGCAAGATAGCCAGTCGGCCCTCCTTTATGCCCATCTGCATCGTCTTCCGCCGAATAAACAATTCCGCGCTTCAACACCTCTTTCACAAAGAAAACCGCCTTTTCCTTCTCACCCATCTCCCAGTACAAAGATATCACCTTCTCCATCATGCTAAAACTCGCCTTCAAACCCACACAATCCGATTCCACAAGAAGGTCCACCACATCCCCAATGCCATGCTCCCCCTCAATCAACTTCTTGACCCAACTACACATTATCGAAACCATGAGCTCCATCGTCTCCTTATCGACCCGATTCTCCTTTCGGAGCCACTCAAACACCTCAAGGGCACACCATGAGTCCCTACCCTCCTGAGAAAAGTACACCAACACAAGCTGCAACTCTCTGGCCGATAACCGGTCGTTCATTTCCTCAAGAACATCGGACGGCTCTCTTGCCATCCGCTCCAATTCCTCAATTGCCTCAAAGAAACCTTCACCCATTTCGCCCTCGTCGTCGCTGGTCACGAACTGGTCCAATTGAACCGAATTGAAAACCCTAAAGTCTCGAACTTGGCTCGATCTCGCAATGACCAAGCTGGGGTTTTGTTGTTTGCAGAATATGGGAAAACCCCTAGCGCAAGATTGAGCCGAAGAACCCTGGAGACCGATAAAACGGTGCCGTTTAACCGCAAAACACAACCGGCTGAGCGAAGCAATCCCCTGAGCAGAGGCCATTTTCTTCAGCCGAATCTCAAAACTTCTCAACCGAGAAAACCCAGTTTCCACTCCGTTTGGTTGCCAACAAAATCAAAGAAAGCGAAAAGGAAAATATAAGAAATTTTCTGTGAAGCACAACTCACGTCAAGCGAGTCAAATATCCGCGAATTAGAACATACCCTTGTCTGGAATTGAAGTATGAAGAAAACCCAGAACGACGATTCGAAGTCGTCACCTTTCTTTCTCTCATTCCTAACCTTTCTCGGGAGCCAAACAGGATTTGGGATCTTCAGCTGGAAAAGCTAAATCCCAAGAGCGAATTCCCGAGGAATGTAAAGAAAATGAAAGACATGCGCTTGCCACCACAGTCCTCCGTGATAAAAATAAAAATTGGGAATTTAGGGAGGAGAGCGGGGTTTTGTTTGTGGATTGATTGTGATTTGTGAGGTGCTCCTGCAATGGCCGAGGCTTGCCACCACAGTCCTCCGTGACACTGACAGTGACAACCAAACCTCTGATTTTTCACCGTTGGGTCTGTTGATGACGTGTTCCAAGTCAGTCTACTCGCGGAATCTGGCGCGGAACTGTCACGTGTGAAATGAGAAAAACTACGTTTTTTTTTGTGGTATATTTCAATTTTTTTATTTTTTATTTTTTAATTATAAAACCTGGTTATATTATAAATTATTATGTAAAAATTATTTCTCAAAAAAAAATCAATTTAAACTCGAGTCTTCTAGTCAAGTAATTAGAGTAAACGAATTGTTATCTAGTTGTTACAGTTATTGACTAACTGTAATTAGAGTAATTTGAGTAATTTGACCATTTTTAATCATAAACATAAAGTTTTGTAAATTGGTTACAAAGAATTTTTTTGGTTAAGGCCACGAAGTGTCTCCCACTTGAAGGCTGGTATTAATCTCAGCTCGAGGTTCGGCTTGCCTCTGACCTCAAAGTGCTCTTAGTTGGTTTTGAACCCCTGCCAGAACGGCACTAGGGAATCCACCAAATGAAGGTGGCAATTTGCCAATTGCACCATACCTTTGGTTATTTATAACGAATTTTGAGTAGGGGTTTCTACCCAATATTAAGTAGCCAAGTAGTATTTCACCATATAATCCAACACACTATCAAATATTAGAATTTAGCTAAAATACTTATATAAGTATTTAGGCTTTCACAATACTTGAGTTTGATTCCTATAACAATATTGTTACAATAGTCTGAGTTTGATAGAGGTAAGTTCTCTTTTCTTTTTTCCTATCTTGAATTCAAGAATTAGAATCACTCTCATAAAACTCAAATCTACTTACCCACCGTAGGATTTTGATTCGTATAAAAATTGAATCAAACTAAATTTTCTAGCTCACTATGGAAGACTTTAATACTATAACCATCTGACGGTTAGAAGACATCTAGAGAGCATATCTAACTGTGGTAATAGCTCACTTAGTACTACGGTCTAGTGATATTCTTTTTCACTTGTAAGTGAGAAGTCTTAAGTTTGATTCTCTCCAAAGACGAATGTCCATTATTGCTAGCCCATTGTGAGACTAATCCCGTCTCCGCTTAATATAAATAATATCGTTTGTTCAAAAAACTTTCGCAATTGCTAATCGCCAAATTTTTAAGATACTTTATCAAATAATAAAAGGTTCTAGCCAGCCAGTTTGTTGACCATTTTAGTCGTTCAATTTTTTTCTTTTGGAAATTTTCATCTTCGGCTTTTCGATTTTTATGCCCACTCATGCCAAATTTTAGTTAAGTTCGTCCAACTAAAAAATTTGTCATTAAACTTTCCAATTTACTCAATGGCCGAATATGTATGGTCCCTTTTTGTGAAGGATTCTTCAAATAATTTTATTTGAGGAATATATTTTAGTGTCCATTACATAACATTTTGTAACGGTTGAAATTATCTATTTTTTAGTACATCATCAATTGTTATTAATAGTTTCATGAAATTTTGAAAATCTCCCGTCCAAACACAATAAGGTAAAAGAACTTCAAAATAAAATAAGTTATTTGTTACTTTCAACTTTTGGCATAAAAAATTAAACATGTATGAATCACCAAAATCTTTTTTCCTTATAAATCATAAAAATACTTACAAAACAAATTGACCATTTATTAAAAAGATATTGCTGTGTTTAATCTATCAAAAGTGTATTTCAACAAAATTACTTGTGGTTACCAGTGCTTCCGAACGAATCACATAAAGCACTATTTTGAAAATTCAAAAATATGAAGACCACGTCCAACAAATTTTGTTGTTGTTGAGAAAACAAAGTATATATGCATAAGCAATCAAACAACGTTGTTTGAAACAAAACCAACAAAGATAATTCTGATCGAATCGGTGTTCGTGTGTGGACAAATACGAATCAAATGCATATTGCATAAGCAGGCAATGGTAACATCCAAGAAATTATTGCGCGCGCGCGCACATATATCTTAATTAACACAAAACAAAAGTTCCAATATTATTCCATCTAAAATAACCCGAAGTTTAAAGCTTTGGAGTCCAAAAGCAATATATAAAAAGACACCAGAAAAACGGAAACACAACGAGCAAAACGAACATTTTACTTATTCAAGCCAATCAATAACCCAGATAATCAGTTTCATATGAAGAAATGCTCCTGCTACCGTTTCTGCTCATTGAAGTTCATCACATCTTTCATCTCTTGATCCCCATCCTCTGAGTTCATCTTGTTTTTATCTTTCTGCTGCGGCACGGATTGGTCTGACCTCGCAGGTTCCTGGCCAGCCATCGTTGTCAGCCCAACTGGTTGGTTTTGGTTTTGTTGCTCCTCTTGTGCCACAGTGACTTGCTTCAGCTTATTGGCCTCGCTTGAGCTTTCTCCAACTTGTTATATATACAAAAAAGAGAAAGAAAAAGGGGAAAAGTTAATCTAAATGATTTGTCATCAACGGAGAGGGGCTTTTGAACTTAGAACCGCTTCTAATATTGAGAAGAGAATCAACTCTGGACTAAGAAGAGTTGGTACGTAGCTAGCCGACTCTTAATTATATACGAAAAGAGAGTGAGTGTTGAAGTCAATTCTTTCATGCATGATTAAGGTGTGGTCTGAACTTTGAAGTGCACATGATTTACATTCTGCTGTAAAGGAACGACTACATCCTGCATGTTTGTTCTTAATTTCTTTTAGAAAACCTCGACAGTATGGAGGGAGTTCTTCATATGTACTGCCTAGGTCTCTTCTGGTGCTATTTCCAAATATTATCAGGTAAAGGTTCGTGAATCTATGATGTGCCTATCTTAACTATTTCACTCCTTTCGTCTAAACAGTGATGTGTCCAATGAGTACAGATATCTCCACTCTGGCTACCTCAACTAAAAAAAGTGAACCCGTCAATCTAATGACACAAAAGTATTTACACTAAATGCGAGTCTAGAAAACGAAAAGAAACTGTTGCTACTAGTTTCACTCGGCCATCCTTAATGATAACAGACTAAAAACTGGAAATTATGCGAAGACTTCGTGTTTATGTGGGTACTTATGAACATAGTTTCTTTTATCTTGTCAAAGAAGACCCATCCTTGAAAGCATGGTATGTTTTTGCTTTGTGTATACCTCTTTTTTTTTGTCGAAAATGCCTTCGACGTTGATAATCTTTTGTAAATGCTATTATGTTTTTTCTTACTAAGCTTGTGAGGTTCTTACTATTTTTTTTAACAAACAAGTAAAATTATTCAAAAATTAAAACGTCAACAGCGAAAAAGGTTTAAAGATCAACCCTTACTTAGATATGCAGTCCCCCTAAACATAGTATCCTAAACCCCAAATATGTAGTATAGCATGAGTATAATTAGTTAATATATCCGTACTTAGATACCAATTGATAAGGTGATGCGTGTGACATATATTATTTATAACACATAATACGCTACCATATATATCTAGATATTATTCAACGTTATTGAAATCTGTTAATGCCTGTAGTAGACCAAGGAAAATGTACAAAGAGGAGAGATTAATTACAAAAATTTCAGATGAAGGACATTTAACTTGCAGGTATCCGGCTAGCTAGCTACGTTATATATTACTTGATTTTCTTTTTTACCTTTTTCTGAGTTTGAAAAGCCCATCTTTCCAGGACCAGACTGATTGAAACCTGGAGTTGGCACCATCAACCCTCCATCTTTCTGGTTCACCATCCTGCTGCTTGCATTTGCGCCGGCTTGTATGTTGGCCTTTTGGTCTAGCAGTTCCCTCAGTCTGGCAACCTCTTTTTTGGTCGCTTCAATTTCAACTGCCAAATTAAAAACATACTTCTCATTGTCAAACATAAACTACATGCTATATATATAGCACTTCGAAGAGGCTCTATCGTCCCATTTTTGTTACAGTAGAACGGGATTCCGGCTAAGAAGGGGCACGTGTGTGTCTAGCTATATAATCAGTTTTACCATCTTTCTGTATCTTGTCGTTGGTGTAAGCAGTTATTCTTCCGTTCAAGGACTTCTGCTCCATTTGCAGAAATTGCTTTTGGTGCGTGTAGAACTCCACTTGAGGAAATAGAAAAGCAATTTGACTCTATGTACAGACAAGTAAAATATATCAAATATTAGTTTTTTGGAAGTAAATTAAGTATAGCAAATATACACATTCTAAAGTCGAGTAAATAGCGAGTAAAATAACTAATCGCCCGACGGTTATTACCTCTAGAGTCTTCGCCTTCTTTTCCATTTCCATAACATATTGAACCTTTTTGAGTCTAGATTTCTGAGCGGAAGCCCGGTTTGATATGATCCTATAAGAAAACATCAAATATCGACCCAAAATGTTTTGATTATACATGATTATTATATTATTTATATATATAAACATTTAATAAAGATAATGCACACAAGAGTATGGTTACATAAACCACGTATCCTGACCACAAAAATTATATTCTTACCACACATTTGTATTATTTTTTGTACTGGTAGACTCTAACTTTATTAGAAAGATGATACAAATAATGAGTAGCCAATACCATATGAGTGCGTTTGTTGCACTGGACTATCTCTGGATTATCTTCAGGAACTAAACATGATTGACTTTGAATAAACTAAACTGGATTGACTTAGTGAAATAGTTGTTACAATATCAAACTAAGAAATACGATAATTAAGAAACTCTAATATTATTTTATTTATTCCACAATTATTAATACTTTATTATTAATCCCCTTTTTCTGCATCTTTTTCTCACTTCTCCGTCCCTTTCTCTCGCTTTTTTTTTTCTCCCTTCTTCGTCCCACTCTCTCCCTCTTCCTCCCCAGATCAAACCTCGCCGGATGAGCTCCCCAGAAAATTTTCGTGTCAACTCCCTCTTGATTCCTCATTATATCTCTCTCCTTCCTTCCTCCCTCTCTCTTAGTTACGTGCTATTCGAACAAAACTTTCATGGCCAAACCTATTTTTTCAATGCGTTTTCCGATCAAATATTGTTGAATTGGACGAGG